GGGTGTGCTACTTGGCCAATCTTATCGCCTTTAATTCTTTTAATAAATTAATATCCTTCCATGCCTGGCTGAGGGGGTTGTGAGAGTTGAGACTGTTAACAAAAGTTTCCCAGTTATCTTGCCTGAGCTCTGTCATGCGCTCCCTCGCCTTGGCTAGGGCTTTCTGAAAGAGCTTGAGCATTGCTGGCGTACGTGTTTCCCTATATGCAAGCCCAACTCGTCTGGCAGTGCGTTTCAAAGTACGCAGTTTGGGGTCATTGTAATAGGCATGGTGTTTATTACCTTTCATATCGTCCCGACTATTGGATGGTGCAGGGGGCCGACCTAAAGGGTCAGCAAACATCTGAATGCTCTGTACTAGACCGTCGTTAAATGTCTGGACTGTGGAGGGATCATAAGTGCTGTACCACTCTGACACATGAGCAACAAAGTCTTCACGTCGAGCAGGAGGAACACTGAGCCGTTTGCGTTTGAAAGTTCCACCGGGCAGGATGGTATTTCCTATACATAGAGTAGTCAATCTAGGGTGATGATCTGACAACAAATCTGTTACAGTAGATGATGTGCACCAGACGTGAGAGACGTTGAAACCAACACAGAGGTCTAGAATGCCTCCACAAATAGGCGTGGGTTCAAGGTCACCCACAATCTGCACATCTTGGTGACTATTTAGTAGCGACAGCAGTTGATTCCCGTTACCGTTACTGAAGCGAGAGCCACCAATGTCCTTGTGTCTAGCATTGTAGTCACCAAGAATGATGGTTGGCTCTGCTTCAGCGCAGACCGGAAGATCAGTATAATTTAACTTTCCTGCTGGAGCATATAGATTAAATACATTGAGAACAGAGTTACCCACATAGATCCTCACTCCATGATACTGTTGACCGGCAGTTTGTTTTTCTGGCAGAAGTTGATGGGGTAGGGATTGTTTGATGTATAGAATGCAAGAGTTACTGGATCTGAGGTTGTAAGGAACAAATGAGGACAATTTCGGGGGTGAGGATCTTGCGGGAACTCTGCACTCCTGGAGACATACAATATCGATGTGTTCAGTTGTTACTTTGTGATGTAAATCTGAGAACCTTTTTTTGAGGGATGCAATGTTCCAGCTAAGGACGGATAACTTAGTTATTTGTGCATTTAAAGTCAGCATTATATATTGATATTATTAGTTCACTTAATATATATTATCTATATTTCTATATTATCTATTGCACTACGATATAAGTCTAGGAACATTTCTTAGTTTATTATCAATGTCACACATTTCCCTCCAATGGTCTAGTACAATTTGTCTGTCATTTCCACATATAGAGTCGTTTTGAACATACTTTAGCACGACTTTGGCAGTTAACTTGCGTGAAAGGACTCTACTAATATAATGAGCAAATATGATAATTTGGAAATAAATTCAGTGTGTGGTGCTCTGAATGCGGGCTGATTCGAAGAGCCGAGTACGGGACGAGAGCATCTAGTCCAACTAGATGCGGCTGGAGTCTGGCTGTCTGCTCTGTGTTCAGGCTACATCCAAGTGCCATAAACTCGTAATGGCTTGGCACTTACCGATAATAAAAAAAAATGGGTTTAGGTTGGGAGGTCGGTGGGTTTTTTTTTGGGGGGGGGGATAGTATTTTCATACACGAAAATGATCTGACGAAGCTCGTTTTCTGTTTGTTAAAACCGTGTCTATTGCTATGCTAGGATGTATTAGCTTAGGTTAGGCGGTATTTCACACGGTTGGGTTAGGTTAGGCAAGGTTGGGTTAGGCTAGGTTAGGTTAGGCAAGGTTAGGTTAGGCAAGGTTAGGTTAGGCTAGGTTAGGTTAGGCAAGGTTGGGTTAGGCAAGGTTGGGTTAGGCTAGGTTAGGTTGGGTTAGGCTAGGTTAAGTTATACTAGGTTAGGTTAGGCTAGGCTAGATCAGGTTAGGTTAGGCTTGGTTAGGTTAGACTAGATCAGGTTAGGTTAGGTTAGATTAGGCTAGATTAGATTAGGCTAGGCTAAGTTTGGTCGGTTTCAAAATCCATCGAGGAATGATCTTGTGTGCGATACGACTTGAATCCGCTTTTCGTTCAAAGAGTGGAGCCACCTGGCGGCGGGTGAGCGTACTACACAAGTAAACAGGTCACACCCGCGCAGCCTTTGAACGCAACGCACAATGTCCCGTCAGTCACCACTCCCAGGCTGTCCTCCTCATAACTACCTCGTGAGTACTTGGGCCTGGCCTTGGTGTTATCTAGTCAAGGGTTAGACGAGGTCAGGGGCAGTTAGTAATGGCTGGGAGGGAGGCGTGTGGCGTGGCGTGGGTCTGTTGGCCTCCTACGGGTGTGGCCTTGTTAATAGTGCAGAAACCTTCATATAATCAATCATAATCAAATTTTTTAAGGACAAGGGGATTTTATTTTATTTTGAAAAAACCATGATTTTTTTTGGTAGATGTATGTTTTAGAAAGATGTCTTGGAAGAGATGCAGGTAGTGGAAGCAGTGTTATGTTGCTATGTTGTTGGTGTATGTTGTTATGGTGGTATGGTATGTGGGGAATCTCAAAAGATTTCCCCCATTTTGCACCCGCAAGATAATGTAAGTTATTAAGGGTTGACAAATGTTAATCTTCTTGTTTGATAAGCTGTTGACTTGAGACAGTTAAGCAAGTCCCAGCTGTGTCTGGGTACAAGTGACAGGATGAACAACCCAGCGGGTTTTCTTCCTATTGGGGAGTGTTGTACATGCTGCTATGGCGGTGTGTCCACTCACAGGATGAGTGGCGCTGCCCAATACTGTCATTATGGCGGTGTGTCCACTCACAGGATGAGTGGCGCTGCCCAATACTGTCACTATGGCGGTGTGTCCACTCACAAGATGAGTGGCGTTGCCCAATACTGTCACTATGGCGGTGTGTCCACTCACAGGATGAGTGGCGCTGCCCAATACTGTCACTATGGCGGTGTGTCCACTCACAAGATGAGTGGCGCTGCCCAATACTGTCACTATGGCGGTGTGTCCACTCACAGGATGAGTGGCACTGCCCAATACTGTCACTATGGCGGTGTGCCCACACACAGGATGAGTGGCGCTGCCCAATACTGTCACTATGGTGGTGTGTCCACTCACAAGATGAGTGGCGCTGCCCTATACTGTCACTATGGCGGTGTGTCCACTCACAGGATGAGTGGCGCTGCCCAATACTGTCACTGGCAGTGTGTCCACTCACAGGATGAGTGGCGCTGCCCAATAAACTCGCCCCTCGGGGCAAACTTAAAAATACAGTGTACTGTAAAAGAAACAAGTGTGTGTGTCCTCGGGGAATAGATCATATAGAAAGCATGAACCACTCGGGTATTTCAAGAACAAACTGAATAATGATTACTTACTTAATTTCTGGATAATGGATATGTTGAATACAGCGTTATAGAACAAGTTACTTAACTATAGTATAATGAATACATTGGATAGTCTCATGGATGCTGACCTAACTTGTGGATAATGAATATTTTGGATATGGCCTTATGGATGCTAACTTAAGGATAATGCATATGTTTGATACAACTAAATGGAATACTGCACTACTGGACAGACCTCATCCTACATCTTCCAGCAAAGAGTTAACACAAAGTGTCTTGTGGTTAAACCAACACAACCCAATGCAGCATGAACCGGGAATCTGCCAACACTATCTACTGTTTTTCCTGCCCGAAACGCTTTGCGTAATAGTGGCTTTAGGCATTGTATGTACTAGCTCTTATCTATGAATCCTTCAACTTTTGTATTTCACCTTGTATGTATGTACTTTACCTGAATAAATATTTGTATTTTGTATTTGTATGGGATGTATGCACATATGGAATATCAGGAAGAGCTAATGGAATGTGCAAATATAGACACCTGAGAAACTGCAGAAATATCCTGAACAGAGGTCTCGACATGCACATAGGCCATGCGACAGTCTCCGTGGTGTAGTGGTAACACTCGCCTGGTGTTCCGCGAGCGCTTTGTCATGGGTTCGTATCCTGGCCGGGGAGGATTTACTGGGCGCAAATCCTTAACTGTAGCCTCTGTTTAACGCAACAGTAAAATGTGTACTTGGATGAAAAAAAAGATTCTTCGCGGCGGGGATCGTATTCCAGGGACCTGCCCGAAATGCTACGCATACTAGTGGCTGTACAAGAATGTAACAACTCTTGTATATATCTCAAAAAAAAAAAAGAGGGAATGTGTCGCTTTAAAAACTGCTAATTTTACCACCCAAAACTATGTAAAAATTCACTAAACAAGAAGGTATGTTATAACAGTAAATGCCCAGCATTTCATATCAAAGGAACCAAATGAATAAAATCAAAAGAATGCAATTATGAATACAGTAACTCTCGATATATACCAGGGAGATTTTTATTAAGAGAAAGAGGAAAAGAATAGCAAGAAATGCCCAGACTCTACCATCAACTCGATCAAATGTTAGAGAGGAGGCAGGGAATGTGGCACTCCTAGAACCACAGACACCCCTGACTGGGCTTTCGGTTGGGAGCCCAATCAGGGCTTTCAAACACCCCCTGAATGCACATAAATGCATCATTTCTATTTATCGTTGAGAGACTGTTATACAGTCTGACTGTAGACTGTATTTAACAGACAAGTTATACCTCAGTTAGAAGTAAAGTTATGAATTCTGATGAGCTTGTAAGCAAAAAGTTTTATTTTTGTTTATCTCATTTACAACCCTGCTGTATGAATATTATGAATTGTTTGGGGGCTAAAATTTTGTATATGTATGTATGCTACTTCATGTATTCTAACATCCTACCAAATTTCTTGCAAGTCTGAGATGGTCAAGTTCGGTACTGTAATAATTTGACATGGAAATGACCTATGTGCATTCTACCCTTTATATATATATACAATATATTTTTATGGTGGTGCTAGGTTGATGACTGGCTATTTTATGAAGTCGTAGTGTTTCATGATCACTCTTCTAGGTATCACATTCATTTGTGTCCCTGTCTGTTAGGTACAACACTTGGACTCCCGGGGCTCTGGTGTACCAGCATCCTCTTCTCCCTCTTCAGACAAAACTTTGCGACTCGGGTAATTATTACTGTTCTCCTTTCCATGTTGCGCTTTTGAGACATGTTTAGCCTTAAGAATTCTTGCTCATGGAAGCAACTAACCTTGGAATTAAGTCTTTGAATGTATAGTAGATGATTTTTTTTTTTGTTAGTAAACCACTAGATTGTTCCTATTCCCATTCTTTTTTCTCTTGATTTACCCTTTGCCTTTACTGATGCCCCTGGGTATTTTGATGACCCTATTGACAGTGTATGTACTGTAGTAACATCTAAAAAGTAGGTTAGGGCATCAGTCGTGTAACCAACAGCAGCAGCAGTACATGTATTAGCAAAAACAAATATTGCTTGAATGCGGTATTTTGAGTTTAACCTAGATAAGGTGGCCACCTGGTCTCATGAGGAGCTATTTCCATATGCATATTTGTAACCAGTCCCTCTAATATATCCCAGGTGTAAATAATTATGTACCTCGCCAACAGATTTCATAGCGGTAACAAAAGCTGATTGACCATGGGAGACCGAAGTCTGCCTCCTCAAGTGGACGGGCATCCACAGGTTAGTATCATTTTTCTGGTGGGAGACACCTTGGTGGCTCTCCAAAACTATGTTGTTCAATACTAAATGATCATATCAAGTCACGGAGGTTCTGTTTGGCTTATAGAACTTATCTTCCAGAGCCAGAACCTGGCCATTTGACTGCCGTTTATCTGTGATCCAGATAGCCATTCCAAAATTTAATTAATACCTTGCCTTAGAAGGTAAATAATGTTTTCATACTTTATTCGTGATCACTTTACATGATTTTCTGCATTGCATTACCACAAAAAACATATTGGATTGTTAGAATTACTTTGGTTGAGTTGTGCATTATGTTAAATTTGGATGCTGGTAAACTAGGGTACATTTGACAAGCCTCCGGCTTCCTGCCATTGTCGAGGTGACTAGAGAGATAGTGGCCTACAGTCAAATTCAGGTAAATCTACTCTTCCCTTCTTGGAGCACTGCCTTTACATGGGGAAGACTTTATGCTCTGATGGCCAGACGGGCAGTCAAGTTGTTTGTCAAGTCTATTTTCCAGCCGAAGAATAGGAGACCAAATAAAATATTACATGCACTAGGGATAAACCTGTTAATCCTGTTGAGCCACATGCCTTTGTTCTTCTCTAGTTTGATCCTGGTGGGAAGTTGAGCCAAGATTTACATATCTTGCTCAGAGGTTAGGCAAATTGTATTTTTTACAATGCCAGTTTAAAATCTGGAATTGCTAGGTCCCTACTGTTCTAGTTTTGAAAATGAATATGTAAGTTTTATGTGGTTATTCACATTTTATAATGCTTCTGTTACAGGGTCGCCTTGATCTCATTTTTGGGCGTCCTGCAATATTCCCACCTGCAAAACCTACACAGTCATATATCTTCACATTCCGGTGGTGGGGTGATACAAGACCCTGTATTTTACGGTAATGTACATACAGTGCTGTACGGCATTTTCATTTGTATTGTATATTATAATTTTGACTTTTGAAATATTTAAAGGTTCAGAGAGTACACAAAAATCACATAAGCTTTCACAGGCCTCCCTTAAACAGATGCCATTTTGGAAAAACAAAAAAGTCATGGGCACCATTGCTAGGTGTGAAAGCCTCAGTATTGAGTGACCAACCAAGGCTGGTGCATGCAGCTTGTGACCACAGCACCGCTGTTCAGCTTGTGACCACAGCACCGCTGTTCAGCTTGTGACCACAGCACCGCTGTTCAGCTTGTGACCACAGCACCGCTGTTCAGCTTGTGACCACAGCACCGCTGTTCAGCTTGTGACCACAGCACCGCTGTTCAGCTTGTGACCACAGCATCGTTTAAAAGTGACGAAATATATATGTAACTGTTATTATTTTATGATAGTATCAAAGCAGAGCCTGACTGTGATAAAGACTATGTACACTATTCAGATATCAGTGAACACAATGTTGTTTTTGATGATCACAGCACGAGGCAGGCATTCATGGCACTCTGCCATTGTTTGGTCCTTCTACGCATCTTGAAGTGACAGCTCGTGTTCCTATGCAAAGTAAACGTGTGGAAAATTATTAATTTTCTGGATTTTGTGCCTAGAATTATTGATGTGTGGTATGTTGGGAGGAGAAATTTTGCAGAGTTTGGTAGCGTCATCGGCTGATTAGCGTGTGGTGTCGCAATGCTGTTTGGACTCACAAGACCAGCCAAGTGGTTTGTTATGGTGTGCAAAAATATAGATAGTTATATATATAGCATTTGTATATAGTGTAAAAGCAGCAAAAACAGTATATTTTATTGTTCAAAGAATATAATATTTAAATAATATTAGTGATACGAATACTGTATATCTATGTGTACCAATATACTATACTTTCTATGATACAAATAATATTATTGACAGCCCAATAAAACATTGCACTTGAAAAATCCATGGTAAATCATTCAAAATACTATACAAAGAAAATATAAATTCAATGCATGCTAATATAATTTAGTGCAAAATATGCGTGACTAGGCTGAACCCTGATAACCAGTTGTAAGGTCATTACATTTGCCAGAAACATAATGGTGCATGAAAGTGTAGATAATTATATAAATAGTGTATATGCTATGTTATAACAGCAAAAACACTTGATTTATTGTTCTAAGAATATAACAATTGTATCACTAATATGAAATGTTAGATTCAAACAAAAACAAAGTTTGAATATTTTCTTGTGCATTGAGAGGTTGTCAGGTATTAACAGGTGCAGAGCCCCAGGGGTTAATAATGCCCTAGAAGGTAATGAAGGCTTTCAGGATTTTTCCCCAATATGACAAAAGATTATCAGAGGTCTCTAGTGTAGTCAGGCCTGGCCTCAGGCCGGGGTTGGGGAGTAGAACAACTCCCAGAACCCCATGAAGTAGGTATCAAGCATGTAGAATGACGTCCACATGGCATCTTTAGGAATTTTGAACAATACGGCACATTAAATCATTCACAAATGATAGAAGTATTGTTGGTCTATCGTTAGAGAATGATGGGAGCAGTTTAGGAATTAATATGTAAGAAGTAATAACAAATGAAAGGATGATTGTTAATGTGATAAGCTGATAAAAATGCATAATCATTATTTAATCATTTTATTTAACATCACAAAGTTTTGATAATTAAATAGACCCATGTTTTATAATAAGGTATTGCAGCGGTCATCTTATTTCAAAAGACATTACAATTTTGAAGGGATTCTTGATACCTTTATTTTACTTTGTCATTATGTATGTTAAATTGCTAATGCTATTTTTTTTGTTTCCACAGACTTCCTCCAGAGAAAAGTGAAGCAAGAATCACATACTATGTCACATGCGGTCCTCAGTCATTTCGTCAGTATCTCTGTGACAGCAAAAGCTTACATGTGAATCTCAAGATAGGTGGAGGAGACAATACGGAAGCAGTGGAAGATGGCAGAATATCTTCTGGGAAGCAAATGCAAAGCCCAAGAAAAGCTGAATGCGACACACCAAGACAAAAGTTACTCAGGCGTCAGCTAAGACTTAAAAAAGGATGGCAGGATGGTGATGTTATAGGGATCTTTATACTTCCAGATTTAAAGTTGAATTCACGAGGGGACTATGTCTATGAAGGTCGAATTATAGATTCTTGTGCTGACATAATTGGTACAGTTGTTGTCACCATGGTCTTTATGGAAGGTACTCTTGAAGATTTCCAACAAATAAAGATCCAGAATGAAGAACAATCTTATCTCCATGAAAACAATACGCAAGGAAAGACGGATGATGCCAAGTCTAAACCGCGTGCATCGGGAATTCCAATTTTGGGGTCACATGGTAGCAAGTCTTTGAAAACGCGAACAGAAGGTTACAGACCAAGAAGTCGAAGTGGCAGCTTCAGAGATTCACTCAGACAAAAGTGTGATAAATTAAGATCTCCTAAGAAACATGAAGAAAATGCTCTTGATTTAGGAACTCAGGAGAAAGAAAACCAGGCACCACATAGAACAAAAGCTGGCAGTTTCACAAAAGTGGGAAGAGAAGATACTTTACAGCAAGATAAACTTCAAGTTTGGAAACATAGTAATTTACAAGCTGAAAATCAAGTTAATCCACATGTTAAAGAGACAGATAATTCACCTTTAGGGCAACAAGCGTGTGTTCCAGGGCTCCCACTAGTGGGATGGGAAGAAACTTCACAAGTAATGAAACAAGTTGGACGTGAAGGAAATGCACACGGGATGTCACATGGAAGCCCTCACGGGGTACGTCACGTGATACCTCAGGTAACACCGAGGAAGAATTCACAGGTGACACAACAGGACAGCCCACAAGTTGTGCGCAGAGAGAGAAAATCTCAAGATGGTATTTTTGCCAGGGAACGGCCAGCAAGTTGGGGTCTGTATCCTCTGTTAGATGGAGCTGATCCACATTCTTTAGTTGGTATGTTCTTAATTGCAATTGCTTAGTTCTTTTAGTTTAGTAACTTTCCCTTTAAATTAATTATGTATTTAGTTCTTAAAATGAGAACTAAAGCAATCTATTTCATAATCTGTCTTTTTATTTATATCTGTAAGAGATACTGTCTTTCTTTATATTAATTATGTATTACAGTCAGCCAAGTGCTTTATGAATGCCTTTTTTCCAAAAATGCCTGTTATCTGATTTGAGTTAGTTTGAATAACTGGTGGAGCAAGCAGGCTGATTAAAAATGTGCAATAAAGATGGAACTAGTTTGCCCAGATACTGTACACAGCGCTACTTAAGCGGTGTTCATACACTAATGGATGGATCAAAAGCTTTAAACTCTGTCATGGCCTTAGAGTACATGATAAAAGGCAGTTCTTGGTGATCTATAGCTTTCAGTTTTGTTGTATATAGTATTAGAAAAACCTTCAGAATGAGAACGTAATGAACATTAACTTCAAAACAACTGATATTACATTCAAAACAACTGAGACTAATGAGTTTCTTTCTTATTCTTTCATTAGATTCAGGTGCAGTCAAGGCTGAGGACCTTCCTATCCTTTTGCAAGTTTTAAGAGGCCGGTCACCCAACCTTGAAATTTCCAATCTGGATCCTGAGACCCAAAAGCTCCTTGATGGCCTTGATCTCTCCACTAGCTCTATTAGTGCTGATTCTTCTGGGAGAAAAACATCTCACATTCAGGAATCTGGAACAGAAAACCATACAGGAAAGGCCAGGAGCCCAATGTACAGTGTATTTAAGAGTGCTCAAAATGATAATGTTAATTTCTCAGGGGTATCCATGACCTCTGGAATATGGCCATTGGAAGAAGGCAAAAATGCTTCAGAAAAAAGTAAAATTTTGGCTCCCAAATCAGCGATGGACAAGATCATTTCACGCGATAACTCAAAATTTGGATCACCGCGAAGAGTTCAGCAAGGCATGAATGCACGAACAAAAATTCCTACGTCACAGGTTAACAGAACTCCTGTAAAAGCTTGTCGAACACTCATATCACATACAGTGACAGACGAGAAACCACCTTTCCCAGTCAAGGACTTAATTATGGATTCAAAGGACATTAAAGAAAGCGTTAATTGTGAAAAGATAGCTCCAAGTAAATATGGATCAGAAGGTTTGTTTATCTTACTTTCATTTTTACAAATGCTAACACATGTTTCTTGGAGCATGAAATTGCCAGATACCCTACTCGACAAAGGTATGGGCAACCCTGTTCAGGGCGGAGCGTACTTATGGCATAAATAGGAATGATAGTTGTATGTGTATATTGTATGTGAAATATGAGACAGAAGTTAGTGCCGAGTACATAACATCAGGGGAGATGTCACATACCCGACTTCCCGGAAGCACACAGCTGGTAGGCTCATTTAGCCCTGGGCATTCATAGTGAGTGATTGCGTTGTGCGTCTTGCTCTGGCACCTTGTGTTCTGTTATCGCAGTTAACGGTGGTGTTGGTGTTATGGCCTCCAGGGAGCCGGAGAACCCCCGTGACATCATGTACCCAGTGCTAACTTCTGTCTCGCATAGTGTGTCACCAACACAACTGTCATTCTTTTTATACCATAAGTTTGCACCGCCTACTTATGGCAGGATGCTCGAGTCGAACATACTGTTCCATATAATTTTGTTGAGTACTGTATAGTATATATTTAGGATTTTGTTTTGAGTGTACAGTACTGTACAGTCCTTTTAACTGCATAGCTACATAATAACTAATTCGGTTATTTCTAAGACATTAACAAAGCCAAAAGACTTCATATTTCAAAAAAAAATTCTGGATAGTCTTTTTGAAGTACAAAACTTGAAGAGTCACACTGAAAGGGTAAACAAGTTCATTTTATTGTATAATCAACACATATTTTAGTGTTTGATAAGTACTAGTATTTAAACATTGTCACCTGCTAGGTTGTGCAAAATTAAAAAGTTTATTTAGTGTGGCTTCTTGAGCTTTGTGCTTCAGGAAGGTTGTTTTTGAAGGGCTCTTGGCGGCTCTCTGAAGCTATCCCACTTGGATGGTTCTGCCCTACTGAGGTACATCAGCCATAGGAGTCAAGTATGGCCGACTGCAGACCATTGCCAGAACCTGGCCCCCTCAGAGACACTGGAAGCAGGGATCATTATAATCACCCTCGCCAAGAAAATATCCAGAAAGTATATGAAGCAATACAGTTAACTGTAAGATTCATAGAAAATGAAGCACTGAAACAGCTAAATAATTTCACAAAAAATATACAGTTCTCTGGAACAAGCCCGAATTCCCCTAGTTACGACTAGCCAGTAACAGGTGGCTGCACCCTGGAAGCTTCTGGATTCTGTACCATCTTGCCTCAATCCTGTCACTAATGTTGATGAATACAAACCACCTCTGATAACTAATTATAAGTAAAAAGAATGTAGCGACTCTGGCTTTTCTAGATACAGTAAGTATGAGCCATCCTTTGGATGCTGTTGCTTCAGGCATCAGTATTTGCTTCACGAGCATGTGTGTTTCAAGCCTTACTTGTTGTGTGGACTTTGTCTATTCTTTGCTTGTTGCTACATGTGTTTAGGACTACTCTTTACTAATGGCTTGTTTAGCATTGGACCTTCTCTGACAAAGTGATTTCTCTGGTGAGTTCAGGAGTTCCTCCCTGAGGGGCCAGGCTACTGTGTAGAGTGCCTCACCCTTAGTTCTGTAAATAGGGTCTTGGCTGCCTGGTATCTTGTCAACATAGCTGGCCCTCTGCAGCCTTGTGTTGCCTTGGGGTGTCTGTCGCAGCTGTCTGTTTCTCGTTTGTGTTGATGCCTGCAGTGCTTCTGCCTCCCTGGTAAGTCCCCTGTTTTTTACTTTCTCTGTGGGTAGTTAGCTTCATGGAGCAGACAGGTTCTCCACATAAAACCAGCTTTGAATGTAATGAAACACCAGTTTCTGGGCGAGCCCCGGAGGCTCCCTGACACACTCCTTCCCTCCAGTCGGCCACTCTTTATCATTCAAGAACTGGCTGGTGGTGGCCTAGCTCACCCAGGCCAGCTTCCCCTATTCCCCAACGAGTGGGAAGTGGAGCTAACTAGCAGGGGGTTGGTTAGAAGTCGTCTTTGTTTTCTTATAGGGGGAGTTCTCCTGATATTGTGAGGGGGGCTGGTCTCATTTTTCGACCATGCAGTAGTCTGTTTTGATTCGCCTATCTTTCTGGGTGCTTCCCTGTTAAATGGCAAGATCAAATTTAAATATAAAGTGAACAAATCCACAAGGGCCATGATGAGGATTCGAACCTGCGTCTGGGAGCATCCCAGACACTGCCTTAATCGACTGAGCTACGATTTGCCCTTGTGGATTTGTTCATTTGATGCATCACGTTAGTGTGATCTCTGTGTGTGTTAAATATAAAGTGTTCATGAGCCATTGTTCTCTGTGCCTGTTTGAGGGTGCCATGATCTGGCTTGTGGTCCCTGGTAGGCAACAAGAACTCTGTGACTGATGACTCTAAATATTATGGCACTTAAGCAGTAAGCTAGCTTCAGGGAGCCTCTGGGGCTCACCCAAAACCTGGCATTTCATTACACTGAATGCTGGTTTTATTGTGGAGCAGAAATGTAACCTTATTAATAGCTTGCAGCCTAATGGAAATCTGGCTCTGAATTATGAGCGGAAGACCTAAATGCCTGTTCAGAACACATCATTTTCATTAGTTGGGTACTGCCTTTTCTGTTAAATAATATTTGGTCAGTTCACCTAATAGATTGAGATTTTTTAATGTATACATTACTAATAAATATCTGACATGTATATCTTGGCAGAAGTTTAGCATCTGTATCCCAGCACTAATCATGTATTTTGCAACTAAATATGTCCCATTTAATTCTTTATTTGTATTATTTCATCTTGTATAATATCTTTTGTCTGGCTTTGTTTGTTATTAGTAAATATACATTTCCCAATACAGACGAGGGATCGGTGCTGATAGTCGACATAGGAACACTAATTCTGGCACCGCCATTGTTGCCTCCAAAGCCCTTGAATAACGCAGAAAAGGTTTCTGGTAAGTATTTTTAATTAAATAGTTTGTCACATGTGACAACATTAATACTTTATTACACTTCATTCATTGAATTTTTTGAGCTTCGGCTCATTCATCCCGCCACTCAACTGTCAATCTACTTGTGTGCAGGTTCCTGAGCTTATTGAGCTCTATCATATCTACATTTGAAACTGTGTATGGAGTCTGCCTTGAGATGATTACCTAAGTAGTAATTGCACGAGAAGAAAAGGCGAGAAAATGGGCTCAATATAGGAAGAGGCTTAACCTTCAAACACTCCAACACTACATGCAAGCAAGAAACAAATACTCAACAGTGAGGAGAGAAACTGCTGTGAAAGTTTGAGGTGGAAACCAAGTACCCAAATGAGCTACAAAGACATTAGAAAAGAACTTTTTTAATTTTAAGAATGTGTGCATGTGTGTGTGTGTGTATGCCAGTGCTTACCTATCATTGATTAAAGTAGCATATTTTCTTCAAGTTATACAGTGAAATGACTGACAAATTCTTCTTTTAATACATTCAACTTGCAGAGCTCCCATACAGGGTACCTACCCCCACCTTGTGGCTATCTTGTAGAGGTTCTGGGGATCAATGGTTTCATGGCCCGGTCTCCGACCAGGTCTCTCGGTTGGTTGTCTGGTCAACCAAGCTATTGGATGCAGCTGCTCGCATCCTGATGGATGAATCACAGTCTGGTTGATCAGGTATTCTTTGGGGGTGTTTGTTGAGTTGTCTCTTGAACACAGTGAGGCCAGCCAGTTATACCCATTATGTGTAGCGGAAGTGTGTGTTGAAAAGTCATGAGCCCTTGATGTTGATATAGTTCTCCCTCAGCATACCGTATCAGCAAAATTACTGTATCTAGCGGTACTTGGAAAAACTATAGTAAAAACATTTGCAATATGAAGAAAATAAGATATATTCAATCTGTGCTGTTATAATTTCATGTAAACAATACAGGAAGAGGTTGAACTCTGGTTACTAGTAATAAGGTTATTATAATCACCAGAAATGCTTAGTGGTTTGTAATCATGCACAAAAATGTACATAGTTATACTGTATATAACATGTGTGTGTATATAATGTAATAACAGTAAAAACACTATTTTATTGTTTTAAGAATGATTTAGTGGAATACTCAAATGTACTAAAGTTTTACAAATATTTTAATTGTAGATGGCATTAACATCTGCCAAATTACGTGTACTGTATTGATTTAAGAACTGCGATAACGTTATCCCAAAACCAAAGTGTTAAACACCCTCGGGTTCTCCGAGTGGTTGATTGGAAAAAGTTTGTTTAAAATCCCCACTTGCATTACCACACAACAAAAAGAGTCAAGTCTGTTCTTCATTGGCTTGTGTCCTGGCAATGACAATCCTCTTGAGTGATATAGTTCCTCTTCGGCATCATTTTCCTAAACAATCCTCTCTCATCACAGTTGAGCCCTTGTTGGGGGAATAAAACTCTCGGCCTCTACATACTGTAGTCACTAAACTCGATGACAAATTTCTTGGCAGCATCTTTGTTAGAAGCCTCCCCATGCTACACACTCTGAATTCCACCTAAATTTCTCTAACCACCCATGAACACTTCACTATGAGCCCTCAGTTCAGGGATTTAGTTTCCAATTTAGGTCCCAATTAGTTCATTCGAATGAGGTACCACGACATATCAAAACCCAATGGAAACGTTGAACTTCATATGTCAAAGATTGTAGGGAAGACGGGGTACCACGAGCATAGCTCTCATCCTATACAGTGGAACTTCGAGTGACGAGTGCCTCAATCTATGAGCATTTCGAATAACGAGCTCGCCACTTGGTGAAAATTTGTCTCAATTGACGAGCTTTCGTTTGATTAATGAGAAAACAGTCTCTAACAGTCTCCGTGGTGTAGTGGTAAGACACTCGCCTGGCGTTCCGCGAGCGCTATGTCATGGGTTCGTATCCTGGCCGGGGAGGATTGACTGGGCGCAATTCCTTAACTGTAGCCTCTGTTTAACGCAACAGTAAAATGTGTACTTGGATGAAAAAACGATTCTTCGCGGCAGGGGATCGTATTCCAGGGACCTGCCCGAAACGCTACGCGTACTAGTGGCTGTACAAGAATGTAACAACTCTTGTATATATCTCAAAAAAAAAAAAAAAAAGCACAGGGTGCTTCCTAGCGTTCCCCCTGGTTCTCGCAAATTCTCAGACACCTCCGACGATGCAAATAACTGTTTTTTTGTTTTAAAGATGCTAATGATGCTGGGATGTGAAGGGGGTGACTGCTGTAATGTTGCAAAGCATTGATTTTTGTTTTTTAGACAAAATTAGAAGAAAAAAAATCGAAAAAATTTGAAAAAAGAACAAATGTCAAAAAGAATCGTTGAATGTATGTCAGGTAGGCTGCCCCATTATTTAAAAAATTGAATATCATATTGATTTTTTCATTGGTGGAACGGATTAATTTTATTTCTATTATTTTAAATGGGGAAATTCGTTTTGAAAGACGAGCTTTTCACATGACGAGCTCGGTGCCGGAACGGATTAAATTCGTTAATCGAGGTTCCACTGTAATTACAATTAGGTAATTATACTCTAAAACACAAACAACCAATCCTATTAACACCATATAATTGTTGTATTATAATAGGTCTCCACAAGGTGGCCTATTTCTTGATTGACCTTATGTAATCAAACCATTTATACAGTGCCACTAGATTTATCAGTGTATTAGATTTATTAATATAATAGTGGTATTTATTATTATTATTTGTTAAGTTTTATATATAAATTTAAATTTGTGTTACTTTATCAGAATGTTTTATCTTTACCACAATTTTTTTTGTTTAGGTGTTCGAGTGATGCACCGTAGCCGTGTGTGTTATTTAACAACTTTAGACGTAAATCTACCTGGATTAGACATCCCTCCTGAATGGGAAATGGCTCAGACGTGTGCTTCAAGGCAGCTTGTTGATCACGGTAAGGTATTTACCTGAAAATTTTGTGTTAAAAATCATATTTACAGGTACTGTACTCAAAGATGTATTCCTTAGTTGCTCCGCCGGGCTTATGTACTGGCTGTTACTAGTCGGGTTAGGAAATGCCGGGTTAGGGAAATGCCGGGTACCGTTAGACGTCAGGCTGCGAGCAGCCGCGTCTAACAGCCTGGTTGATCAGTCCAGCAACCAGGAGGCCTGGTCGACGACCGGGCCGCGGGGACACTAAGCCCCGGAAGCACCTCAAGGTAGCCTCAAGGTAGGTAGGTACCCGTGAGACTCAATGTCTACCGGGGACAGAGGCTTTCACATTTTTCATATTGTGAGCACTATAAAGTGCCAGGAACATTGGGATCAAAGATTAACTCTGTACTGTGTCAGTCCACTCATAATGCAATGAGTGAGCAACACAAGACACCCAAACTCTTCAGGAATTTGTTTTGGAAATTACCAAAATACCAAATTAAATTTGTAATAACTACTAAACTTGCCCCGGACTGCCACTTGTGGCAGTCCGGGAATGAGCTCACTCATACTCTCCAGCCCCAGTGTAACACCCTAGCATTAACCCCCCCTGGGCTGTGCTACTGTTTATACAAGGCAATGCCCTGTTGTGTGGAAACAAATGAAATAAAATTTTCCTATTAACTTTGTTAACCATTAGACAGCAGTTATTGTCGTTTGTCGATTCACGGAGTAATACGGTTATCGTCATATGACGATTTAAACAATTACTGTCTGGGTTTTACATGTATGATGCAAATATGGATATAATAGCTCTCTGTGGATGTAATGAACTTTAAAAAAATCCTGCTACCATTTCATGGTCCTTGTATTAGGAGGAGCCAGCCATTATACAGTATGACCATTTCTCCATGGCCACTGTCTAAGGGTTTAAAATTGTTCCCTCATCACAGAAAAGTAAAAAAAATTGTGACTTACTTTAGCCATGGGAAGGTGAGGAAATCTCATAATAATGTCAGGGGCCTGACAGCTGAGTGGACAGCGCTTCGGATTCATAGTCCTGAGGTTCCAGGTTTGATCCCCGGTGGAGGCAGAGACAAATGGGCAAAAAGTTTTTCACCCTGATGCCCCTGTTACCTAGCAGTAAATAGGTACCTGGGCGTTAGACTGCTGCTACGGGCTGCTTCCTGGGGATGTGTAACAAAAAGGAGGCCTGGTCGAGGACCGGGCCGCAGTCCTGATCTGCGGGGACGCTAAGCCCCGAAATCACCTCCAAGATAACCTCAAGATGTCACAATTCTCGCCCGTTCATGGAGGAATCACCCTGTGGAGGTCGTCATGGGCCAGGCGTGGGGGCAGCAGTTGCCACGCAGATATTTGTATATATTTAGTTCAACATCACTGATTAGTTTTCACATTTTATTTTTGCATTAATATTATTCAATACTGTGTCATTTGAGAAATTTATGTAATAAAATGTGTAGAACATTGTATGCTCAAATATATTTGTGCACTAATGTGTTTGCATCATATTATATTCTTAGAAGAATAAAAGTTGCCAGACTACAAAATATTTATGAAGCATTTTATTTTTCAGAAATTAATTACAATGTACGAGAAGTGTTAAGATTACCACCGGCAACGGCACTGGAAGTTTTGAGAGGTCATCTAATAGTGAGGTGAGTATTTTATGTTATCTTGCAAATACAATAGGGGTTATCTTGAGATGATTTCAGGGCTTTTAGTGTCCCCGCGGCCCGGTCCTCGACCAGGCCTCCACCCCCAGGAAGCAGCCCACAGCTGCTGTCAGCTGTCACAGCTGACTAACACCCAGGTACCTATTTTACTGCTAGGTAATAGGGGCATAGGGTGAAAGAAACTCTGCCATTGTTTCTCGCTGGCGCCTGGTATCGAACCCAGGACCACAGGAACACAAGTCCCACGTGCTGTCCGCTCGGCCGACCGACTCCCATGGGAGCCGGTCATACTGAGTGTGCCAGTATGTTTCAGATAACTTTCATTAAAATATTTGTGTAAAAGCAGGTATTGTTGGCAAGCCTGTTTGTGTTGTGCAGTTGTAGAGATATATTTCTTGCCTCATTTATCTGTGAATTTTAACGTTTTAAAGGGTATTTTAGTTAGCTTTAAAAATGTAAATGATGTAAATTTACAGGCAGAATTGGGACAAGTGAGTGGGATGTCCCAGACAAAGGAGGAACTATTCTGTGTAGATATAAGTGAGCAAGTTTAAGTAAACAGTATTTTACTAATATGTTTACTATATAAACAAATATTGTAAATCTAGTAAATATTTAGACTACATTTCTATCACATTTTGTAGGTCTAACGAGAAATCTGAAAGAAAAGCCGTTTATTTTGTATTTCTGGGGTGGCTGGTTAAACTTCTTTAACTATAATGCTTGTCCCATCCTTTCCTATCAGGTAGGTTTGTCAGCCACTTGGGCTGGACGGTAGAGCGACGATTTCGCTTCATGCAGGTCGGCGTTCAATCCCCGACCGTCCAAGTGGTTAGGCTCCATTCCTTCCTCCCCGTCCCATCCCAAATCCTTATCCTGACCCTTTCCCAGTGCTATATAGTCATAATGGCTTGGTGCTTTACCCTTGATAATTCCCTGCACTCCCTCCCTCCTATCAGGTGGGTTCTCACTTCAAGGTGGTGGTAAATTGGAGATTGTTGCCATAAAATGTGTGTTTGCTTGTAATTGCAATTGACTTTTTTGAAGCTAAATGTATGCAATGATTTTATCTCAGGTGTGTTTGTCGTCGGTTGGGGGAGCGAGACAGTGAGGAAGTTGGCAGTGCCAGTATCAGCCTTATGGATTTATGGCAGCTTAATGGATCACAGGTTAATGTGCCACTTTTTAGGACACAAGTCCATAGTGGTCAAGATTCTCTTACTAGAAGGCAAGGAAAAAAGGGAAAGAAAAGAGAAGAATGTATAGAAGAGTCTTTTGCACAGTTGACCTTTACTGCCCGATTAGGATTGGCTCTTGGTCGCACAGCAGGTCAAAACGATGGGAAATTAGAGAATTTGGATATACCTTCAAAAGCTTTTGAAAAGTTTGAAAATTCGAGTGAAGCCTCTCCTGATTGTCTAACAAGACGTGTGCATTTGGCTTCTAAATCATCAGAAGATATCTATAATTCAGAAAAATTATCTGAAAGAGATGTTGCACACAGATTTCTTGATTCACCAACTTACTTAAACTTGGGTAATGACAGACACCCAATTACAGATAAAAGACAATCAAATCATCATCTGAAACCAAGACTAACCATCCCTGATGACTCGGTACAAGGGTCAGCTTTTAACTCCATATATGCCCCAACACACATTAACTCAAATGAGAAAGTTTCTAGGGGTATTTGGCAATATCCTGCAAGCCAAAGTAAGGTTGAAATTGTTAATAGTATTCTAGGGCACTCCTTCGAGTCCAAAACTCTCGGCTCTAATGATACAGCATTTCAAGGTTACCATGGTTCATTTCTTACTGGCATAAATGGATATGAAAATCCCAATAACAAACCCATAGAGAGTGGTGGCGAGTCACCATGTATAAGAACGGCCTCTGAATTCACTGCTGATTTTATAAATTATGACTCCTTGAGCCAGAAACCTGCCATTGAGCTCAAACGAGAGGAACGAGGAGGAACCTGTAGAATACACTTGGAGATTCTTAAAGGAAGAAATCTGCCATTACTAGAAGGGCCAGATGGCACCCCAAGACCACCAAACTCCTACGTAAGAACAACCATAGGATCTCATAACATCCTCACCAATGTTTATCAGGAATCTGATAATCCAGTATGGAGTTTTGCTACTGACGTACTTCTCCCATATTCGCAGCTCACTCAGGTAAGTCTAAATATAATTACTGTACTCTAATGTATTCTTACTATTTGAAAGCCTCATATTTTTTGTGTCCATTAACATTTGCATATATAGTACAGTAGGATCAAATTTTACACAGGAATGCATTCCTAGAGAATATACTTGAATTGAACCACATTTAGTTCTATTAACCCTTAAAGTATAATTATCATCATACGTTGATCCTTGGGGTAATGCAGTTATCATCACTCGTTAATTTTAGTTATCACATGGATTTTTTACAGATAAATCTGTCTGGATGACATTACCAGACATATTATCAGCATTAGAATGAGTTGTAAAATAGTTCCGTTGAGCTGTACCAGGAACAGAGTTACATGCAATATAGGTGTACATATTATGTTGTAGGCTTATATACATTACAGTACCTGTACTCTCAATTCTTTAATTATGTGAAAATCAAATTATTCCACACATTATGTAAACTAAAGTGAAACAACAAATATATATGCCCTCTAATGGTCAGTGATCATCAAGATGCCTCCCTTTACTTTAATTTTTATACAATAACTTCATCCAATCATATACCCTTCTCTAAAGATCTCAAAACTACTCTATGCCTGGGTAATCCTTGGATAGATGTTAAATAAACCACAAGTCGAGTTGGTACACTGTTTAATCACATAAGAGCTAATCCAGGGTGAGGCCACACCCTGCTCCAGTCAGATCAAAATTCACTCCCACTCCAAAACTGGCCCTCGCACGCGTATCCAACAATTTAACAAAGCCCAGCTTTTTAATACAAGATATTACATCATTCCTATGTAACTAATTGTTTCACTGCAGACTACCTGGGAAATGCGAGCCTCAGAACAGGTGGAAATAGGACCAACTATCAAGGTGTCCATCAAGGCAAAGCTGGTCACTAGCAGCCAACAGCAAAGAACCACCAATGGACACAACAAATGATACATCCCTGGCCTAGCCAACCAAGCATCAGTCACTTATATATTTTTTCTTACTTGGCAGACTGATGGAAGTCTTATCCTGAAAGTACATCACACACAAGTGTGTCATAGAACGTCAGTTGAAGATCTCCTCCTGGGCTTTGTTTGTGTGGATGCCACCTCCATATGGAGTGGCCATGTGTCTCTATGTGGCTGGTATCCTTTGCTGGATCTCCGTGGTGCTGTTAGGGGGCACGTGAAGGTTGGTACATTACAGTATAAGCACACTAATTCACATCATATGGAGATGAACCTGATCCAAGTCACTTGGAGATTTGAGTTTACAGAATTTCATATTATGCATGTATCATGGCCTTTACCCTTAATACTCTGTCATGTGCTTGGCCATTTCACTGAAGTTAGGACTTCACTCCTGCTGTTGGTTTCACTTTGTCTTCCTAGGGATTTATACTAGATCTTAACATGCTAGTGAGTTTCCAGAAAAACTCCCCTAAGGAGCATTGAAACATCTAGGTAGAGTAACAATAATAAAATATGTATATACAAATAAATAAGATATATAACATAGTTAATTATATTTTGGGCTTCCACATCATTTGTATACCATAATTATGTATGTATGTATGTCAATCAACTGGTGTACAGATTCCTGAGTCTATTGGTCTCTTATCATATCTACATTTGAAATTCTTTGGAGGTCTGCATTAGGCAGACAAGCAAGCCAAGGACCCTCAACCAGTGAATCCTCACTGGAAAGCCAAGAGCATTCAACGAGTGAAGCTTCAGCAGCTGGCAGTCAAAACTGACCTTGCCAAGCTCATGTACTGCACAATAATTTTAGTGTTAAGTTAGGTTACATAAATTTTCATGAATCATTGATTTGAAGATGTGCAGCATCAATCAAGAAGACGAACTTGATATTTTGTTTAATTAAAGTGCATGTGGAAATTCAAATTTTGTTGGTTGCAGTACAGAAAATTGCGAACGTGTTCACGTTTGGACTTCCCCGGTAAAAATTTTGCTCTCGATGTCTGGCTTATCCGGCGGGGGGGTCCTTCCCATATAGTCTGGATAGGTGAGCTTGGACAGTATTATAACGCTGGTTTGGTGGAAGAAGAGCAGATTGGCTTGAACATGAGAGCACCTTGGAATAGAGTGAGAGAAGTTGAGTTTTTGAAGTTAGGGTTGTGTGGGATGGGTGTTGGCAACTGGTGGTGGTGGCAGCTAGTGTGTGGAGCAACAATGGGTGACTTTTACACCCTTTGTAATAAGGGTGTTGGGATAGAGATGGAAGAGTAAAGCAGGATGTTAATGATGATTGCAGTACAAGTAAAGGTTGCCTGTGAAAGAGGAAGGAAGAAAGGTAGATGGGTAAAGGCAGTATGAGGGTTGAATGGGGAGAGGGGATCCGGAGGGGGGGTCTGAATTTTGTTTAAAGATTTATTTATTTTTATTGGTTTTTAGTTCATTCCGTGCACATATAATTAATATATAATGAAATACCAGTAGCATTTATAGTTTTTAATAGATTGGCCCAGGGGTACCAGTGCATAAGATCTGGGAAGCCACTCACAAGCCCCCAGAAATTATATCCAAATTGAAGTCACGTTGCTGCTGACTCTGCCACCTCACACCTCTCATAAGCTCCAGCAATTGGGTAAGTGTGTGTATCACCCTACATCAGTAATGGGTTAAGGTATTAGATGACAGCATTAAACTATTGTTTCCTTGCAGGTTTCACTCACTCCACATGAGCCTCCTCAAACCATAACTCCAACAAGCCACTGGTTTTCAGTCAGCCTACAAGAGCATACAAGTTATTACCCACCATCAAGCCCTTGCCAGTCAAGACATTCCTATCCACAGTATACAACACATGCTAGTGAAGTACATTCAGAACCGCAACATCTTTATTCAAGAAATGATACGGGAATCCCTACCATAGCATCTCTAGATAGATCCTCGAGTGCTTTTTCACAGCTTTCTCCAAGGTCTCGCAGAAGAAATTACAGCCAGGCTGGACAGTGTATGCAGGACCACTCTTCCGTGGAAACTGGGAGAGTTTCAAATCCCAATCTTGATTCTCACTTATATACTAATTTCTCTTCTGTGGTGGATTCTGAATCAGTTACTGATGATCATATAGTTCATAATGAATCTGGTTCTGGTAATGAAATATCTCAATCATTTGTAGGAGTTCCAGATGATGATCATTCCCATTATTTAAGCAGGAAAACTTCGAACATTCCAATTTTCTCGCACAATAAAATTTCAGATAAAACATCAAATGTCATAAGTGATAAAGCCAAACAGAACAGTGCCTTGCCCAAAGTTTTGTATAAAGAAGATGAAAATGTTTGTCCAAATACATCTGTTGTTAGTCAAGGTTATTGTAGGCACAAAGGTTCAATTATTGTTAAAGGAGTAAATGCTGACTTTAATGAGGCATCCCATTTAATGGAAACACCTTTAAAAGACACTAGTAATTACAGTTCATGTAAGCATCCATCGGAGAGGGAAAATGTAAAAATGTTTAAAGATTCCATAATTCTTTCTCATTTTCAAATGCAGAAAAAAAATGAAATGAGTAAGGAATCTAAAGTAAAAAAAGAATTAATCCCAAGCAATATCCCTCCTGGTGGAAAATGTGAGTTAAATAATAAAGGATCCATTTCAAGTACAGGCAAAGAATACTCATCCACTGATAACCAGCAATTGGTAGCAGATCAAAAATTATCTGAGAACAGGCCAAGTTCATGCCTGAAGGTGCCTGGTAGTCCATCATTAAGAGCAAAACACGTGACCTTTGCCCATAAATTAGTTCACCACCAGTGCAATGATGCAGAAAATGGAGATCACTGCTCCCAAGACAAGACAAACAGGAGACTTCAGTTGTTTTCTCAGATGTCCAGGACACCTCAAGCAACTAGTCCAGAGATATCTACAGATTGCAACATCGACAAAGAGGGTAGAAGAACAGGGACATCGAGGGGTCAGATTGTGTCGCAGCCTACGAAGGTAGAAGAGTCGGACTTACAGGTAGTGCCGTGTAGGGAGGGGGACACGCAGATTGTAACAACGACTGTTAGTGTACAAGGCAGTAAGACCTTGAATGCCGTACCAAGTTATGGCATCCCCACCTCGTGCGACAAGAATAGAGCAGATCTTATCATGGCCTTCTCTTGGATGAATCAAACATCAGGTTATGACACTCCATGTGTTTCTTATATTGAATCAAAGCAACAGCCTAAGCAAAACAGTCAAAAATCTTATGGCAACTGTACTTCCAGTGATAGTGCACCATCTGCTGATATAAGAAAAACATCTATAGAACCCAACAGTATCTTACAGAAGAAATCGAGAAAATTTAGAAGTAGGTTAGCAGCAAACTTTTCCTTAAAATGATTTATAAACTTATTTGCTATCATATATGTTTAATTGCATTAATGAGCTATAGTACAAATTTTTTTCAATTATTCCATAGAATTTTTAAGTAGCCTCAAACATGCATACTAAAAACTGCACAATAATGAAGAGGAAATTGTTTCTGTTGATCCTGGAATATTACCGAGTCAAAACACGCTAATTTTCTTTTCGTTAACGTATGCATTTTTTCCATCCATTGTAGTGTGGCTTTTATTATCCAATGTAAATTACTTTTATTGAACATCTTAGGATGTATGATGGGAAATGTTTGTACCCAGTGAGTAGCAGGCTACTTGCTTCAGTCCACCTGTGAACTTGTACAGTACATTCAAGAATATCTTTTTCCATTTTTATCCGCATAAATTTTTATTTTTAGGCAAAAGTAAGAGCCGTGACTTTAATTGTTTGAATCTTGAACCAATGTGTGTTCCTTGGATGCCTTATTCCTTGAGCTTAAGTACTGGTGTGAGAAGTTTTAGCACTGACTTCTATATTGTTCTGTATATAGATAAATATTTAATTCCACATTTGTCATAACACCAAGGTGCATCTTCCTGATGCATGCCTCTGTAATAATGGTGCTCTTTCTCAATACTCATTCTCAGTATACATGTATACAGTACAGTATACATGAGTACGGTACGATACTGTATATATTTGTGTATGGTAAAGTATATGCGCGTACGGTATATATATATGCATACAGTACAGTATATATGTGTTCATACAAGCTTCATTTTACTAACACTTTGTATTAACCTCTAAGCTTCTTAACATTTATAAGTGTAGACTCAATTTATTGCACTTTTTTAGGTTTTAAGTGTCATAACGGTATCACTATTACTGTACTGTACTTGCAAAACTCTTCTTTCTCACAGTACTCATGGGAGTGATTCAATTGCATCCTCAAGGACATTTCTCATTTAATTTTGTTTTAAATTGCTTGCAATATGTGAAACGAGTATTACCTTCCAGTATCCTCTGAAATCTTATTATTTTTATACTACTGTATAGGACTTGCTTTATGTATATATGTGTTTTAATTTGTACCTCATCCTTGCCAAATTAAAGAGGATGATAAAAGATGCTTTAAAAAATATTGTTGGTTTGAATATCAAATTAGGAAGTCTCCATAATTGTATTATGTGGAAGCCTTGCATGTCTACCACATTTACTAATATTATTTATGCATTTTTTATTTATATTTTACTGTAATTTTAAGATAAAAGTACCAGTGACTTGAACTTATGTTGTTGGGAATTTCAAAGAAAAAATAAATTAGCTGTAAAATGTGTAAAAGTACTTCATTCAATACTTATAAAATAAAAGTACATCACAGGCTAGTGCAAAACCATTGTACTAGAAGAATCTTCTGAATTGTCAATAAAAATATATTATATCCTTTTTCAAGTTGAAATATTTAACTATTAAACAGTGTCCTGTGGCACAATAATGTGTTCTCTGGTGGAATTCAAACTGTGTCTGTACTCTTCTGTTTAAGCATGCCGTCTGGAAAACCACAGGCTCCAGCAGACATCAATCTTATTTTGTTTTGGAAGGCTAGTGCTGTAGCCCTTAGGAGTATCTGTACTGCTAAATGTGACAGTTGGAGAAGGGAGATCCTAAGTCTCAGCTCTTGATGTGAACACTCCTCTCCTTCATATCTAGAAGATGATTCATAAGATTGAGAGTAAATTTGCTTACATTTGTAATGGCTGCTGTTCGTCCTTGTAGATCTGCTATTGCCACTGTGATGTTAAGTTACAATTGGGCTAGGTTTGCACTTTCTAGCCAATGGCTCCAGTTCTCATTTCCTTCCTGACTTCCTTACTCATAAGCCCCAGGGACTTTTGTACTCCTCAGCTTCCCTTTCTTAAACCAAGTTTGCCTTTTTTCCTTGCAATTCCACAGAAGCTGGCTCATACAGTTTACACTTTGAGATGCTCTGCCATCTTTTTGTGTGTACCTTACAATTTTTAATGTATATTTATAATCACTTTTGGGAGGCAATATTTGCCCCCAAACATTCTTGTTGCCTCTTTTCCTATCAGTTTGGCTTATGCAAGTGCTTTAGCATGATTGATGTCCTGGGGCTCTGGAGGTTTATATTCTTTCTGCCTTGTATGTAACTTCTTTTTGACCTGGAAAAGACTTATGACACTACTTGGAGGAATAATATTTAAGACACATGCATTCTATTACCCTTCGTGGTATACTTACAATGAGAGAGGAGGCTATAAATGAAAAGTGTATATTTAAGGTACAGCTCGGCACTGCTTTCTCTGGCACTCTGTGGGGAGCTCCGTCGGTTCCCTGAAGCGATCTTACTGATCAAGTGTCATCAGTCGCAGAGTTCTTAGTAAGCCTACTAGGGACCACGAGCCAGAACCTGGGTGCAGGGAGCAATATCCCATGAACGCTTGACATATGGTACAATGCTTTAAATGTAATCTTGCCATCGACCATGGAAGGCACCCTGAAAGATAGGAGAATCAAAACAGACTACTGCCTGGTTGAAAAGTGTGACCTATGTACTCACAAATGCAAAAGAACTCGCCCAGAAAGCAAACAAGCAAAACTTCGTCCAACTAACCCCCAGCTCATTAGCCTCACAAACATATGGGGGAGGGGGAGCCGGCCTGGGCAAGTCAAGACGCCCCAGTCAGTTCTTTGATGTAGTCGTGCCAAGTGGTCGCTGTCACTTTGGCTCCGTGTTCCCGTTTTCTTTTGGTGTTTTCACCCTTGCAGCGGTGTTATAAAATGGATGTGTGCGTGTTGCCAGGAGTTTTGAGTACTGGAGCAGCATGCGCTTAAGGCCATCTTCCCTAGGTGCTCCGTAAGTACTATCCTTGCGTCTCAAGGTTTTCTTCTTTGGGGCGTTCGGGGATCACACCCCGTTAAAAGATTTCCTTGCTTGTGGTTGTCTTCGCCTTTGGGGTGCGTTGGCAGCCTTGAGGCTTTCCACCTTTTCCTGGGTAGTGGGTTCGTTGGTTGGTGGGTCACACTGCAGCTGATGCAGCCTGCTTTTCATATATTGATGGCAGGCCGATGTTTTTCTCTGACTGCTTGTTTGCTGCTGTGGAGTTTTGGGGGTTTACCTGTGGATTCGCTTTTCCCGGCATTTTTTGGGAGTTCTGCTCTTCACCTGATTAGGCTTTGCCTAGGGTGTGGTCCTCCTGTTGCACTCGAGGCTTTTCTCCGGTTGGATTGCCTGCATTGACAGGGTTTACCGGCTTAGCTAGCCCCAGTGCCTGGGCTTCCTGTAGGGTTCATTCACCCTTCAGGTCCTGGAAAACCCCAGCAGGCTCTGTTGTACAATGATACCTCTTCCGAGCCTACTCTCGCCTTGTGCGAATTCGTAAGTTGCTAGTCGCCCCTGCCTCTGGGTATCGATCATCCATTCTGCTTCTAGTAACACCTCCGACCCAGAGTCTTGTGGGATTGGGCAGCAATCGCATTCCAGTCTCTGTAATGCAACATGACAGGTTGTGTACTAGTTTAGAAGCCCTGGAGCTGCCCCGCTTCTGTTTTTGGGACTTTGCTTTGGGGGCATTGGTCACTTCAGCCTTGATTCAGTCCACGCTTCCTCTTCCTTTCCTGGTGGACGTGTTCACCCCTTTTTCCTCCCCATCTTCCCCTGCCACCAACTTCCAGATGTCTGTAGTCTGTAGGTTTTGATGTTGGGGTTTAGCTCGATGCTGCATGAAATTTTTCTTAGTATATTCCAACACCATAAATTGTCTTTAAAAATGGGTGCACATAAAATGAGAAGTATTTAAAAACTACTTATTGCTTTTAAAAGCAGGATGTGTAAATTGTTGGAATAAACTTTACTAGTAAAGTTTATTCTTTCATTTGAATTTTTTCCATTTCATTGTACTGTATTTTATATCTAGATCTTGTTAGATTATCATTCATTCCTAGATGCTTTATTTGCTTTTGATAGGTACTTATATTTTTACAATTGTAAACATTTAAAGCTGTCCATGAAATTCCTGATGCTGTTCTTGTGGTACTTGAAGTATAACATAATAGATCTCTAATGGTATTGCATTACAAGGCTTGAAAGATCACAATTTGTATAACATTGGATTGAGATTCTAGTAAAATTAATAGGCTTGAGGCAGAGTGCCTGCCACTATTTTCCTTTTATATTTTGTATTTATCTAATCCAAATTTTATGCATTTGTTTTAATATAAGTTTTTTCTGTGGCTTGTCTGGTTATTTGCCCGAGCTGCAATATGGGCTTCCAGATTTTTCAATCGTGTTAAAAAAATTTATAGTAATTAACAATCTATCATTCACCTGCTAGATTTGACACACAGCTATGTTATGGTCAACAATTTGTGAATGTTCTCCTTAGGGTAAGCCAAAAGGTATCACCCACACACGAGAAAATTCTGCTTTGATGTCGAACACTTTGATATGAAGTGATGTTTTATATTCAGCATTGGTTTGGCATACCCTAACGGTATAATATCTCCTATACATAGAAAATTTGTATGATTACAAATTTACATTCCAAGGCATACACAACATGGCTGTATTTAGTCACAGATATTGATTGCAATTTTGAAATAGAGCACAAGATGAAATAAGGTTGTTGCTTGTACGACAAGAAACAAGCAATTAAACTAGCCTAGTTTCACTTGCAAACATTACTGCACGTTAAATTTAATTGTAAAATGTATAGTTATTATAACATGAAATTAAAACCATTTTTTATTGTTACACTTTATTAAATTCAGAAGAGGTCTTTTTAGTTTCTATAGTATGTATTAAATATCAGAAACTTCAACACTGCAGATCCCATTAAATAGAGCTTTATCATCTTCTTTCATTTCCCCCCAATTATAAAAGCTCTGAACACTTTGGACACATACCTGAGGCCTGGTCGACAACCGGGCCACGGGGACACTAAGCCCCAGAAGCACCTCAAGGTATACCTGTGGCTTAATGTTTTGAACATCTTGGGAACCAAAATACAATATTTGTCTAAAAAAATACAAAATATCAATTGATTCTAGATTTAAGAAATGTAAAGATGCTTTTACAACGTTCTTATTTCAGTTTGGTATGTCTTACTGACAAATCTCAATACATCTGAATTAAGCTTAACACTCATAACAAAAATACTTTACTGCTGTACTTATTTGAAAATAACAGTATCAAGCATAGCTCCAAGACACTGAACAATATTTGAGGTCATGAGAACTTCCACCTTGTCTTCCAAGTGCCGTTTTGGGTCCAACTTTCCCACATTCTTTATGGCCAGTTGTTCTGGTGTCATTTTCTCTTCCTCTTCCAAACTCTGGGAAAAATGTTTTAATTATTGCCAGATGTACAGACTGACTTCATCAACCTTACAAGAAAATATGCGGGTCATCCATTCTAGTGCATTTTGTAAATAATTTGTATTTTATACAAGGTAGACTATTTAAGCATTATACTAGCGAAAATAATGTATAGTATAGTACAGAATATGCAACCTTTTGTGGAGAAAAGGGTGCAACAATTGCAGTTAATGTACATCATTTCAGATTAAGTTACTTTAATTGTAATACAAAATAAATTTATAAAATTGTGCTAATTCTGAAAAGCATTATTTCATATAAATATTGGAGTTTCATGGAAGCAGAATTTATAGTGTGTGTTATTGCTGAGGGTGATGTTTGATTCTGCCACCTGAACATGTGCATTTGGTTGTGCTTGAAAGATGACATCTGTAGTAGCAAGTGCTAAGATTACGGCTAACTACCACTGCACGCGATTAGTTTTGCAACCCGACTACTGCAAGTAGGGTCCGCATCAGGAAACAATTATCACTATCACTAGGTTGTCTACTGGTAACACCATAGTCAATATAACTCAGTTATATTACCAGACAAGGAATATGAAAAGTATAAAGAGTAAGATTAGTGGACTAAATAAATCTCCCAAAAATAAAACTCCAAACTAATGCAATTCACGCCTAACTTATATGTTAAGACTTAGGCTTAGATTTTTCTTTATTCAGGTATATTTTTAGCAGTAACCCTTTTTTATACTATGCACAAATATAGCACAAAAGTGAGAATGGGATCAATCCCTACTGAGAGAGATCATTCATTGCCTCTATTGTTCCTAATTATCTTGTAGCCTCCTGGATAAATTGCCTCTCCAACTACAACATACTGTAGGGAGCCTGAAGGGAGCCGGTCGGCCGAGCGGACAGCACGCTGGACTTGTGATCCTGTGGTCCCGGGTTCGATCCCGGCCGCTGGCAAGAAACAATGGGCAGAGTTTCTTTAACCCTATGCCCCTATTACCTAGCAGTAAAATAGGTACCTGGGTGTTAGTCAGCTGTCACGGGCTGCTTCCTGGGGGTGGAGGCCTGGTCAAGGACCGGGCCGCGGGGACACTAAAGCCCCGAAATCATTTCAAGATAACTGATGAAATTTGTCCCCATGACTGCAGCTCTGGTAACCTTTATTGTAGCTTCCCCACTCTACTCTAGATCTCATCTGTATACTGTACAGGCCCTTCCACTGCTTATTTCTACTGGGAGGGAGAAATCCTGCTCTTTCCTTGCAGGGATGGTAGGCGAGGTGGAGAACCAGTAACCCTGGAAACACAAACCATAACTGTCCCTATTTTCCGCTTGTTACAACTTGTGATAAAGTTGTTACATCTTGGCTTAACGTGTTTGACGTATTAGAACGTTGTTACAACTTGCTATATTGGTTGTTATAACTGGTTAGGAGGTGTTAAAACTTGTTCGAACGTTGTATCAACGTCGTAGTTTCGGTGTGTGTGTGGCGGGAAGTCACTCCCACTGACCCCAAGATTGACTATGAAACACTGCCAACCAAACTACTGTAATAAGAAAACTGTTTCGTGCAGCAGTAACCTACCTTATTATATGCTGTTGCAAGGTTAAGGATCTCTTTAACTGTGTCTTCATTAAGGCTGCTGTGCTCATTATAATTCTGCAATGTTAAGCCTTCCATCCAAGATTTCTTATGCAGATTTAACAACATTTGTTGTTCTCTGATGAATAGAAATAACGTGTAAATATTTAACATGGCAAATAAAAAATACAAGCTGAATAAACTAAAGCCTTTATTTTATATATTTAAATGCTTTCATATATGAATTAGAATCCCTACCAAAGTGATTGGCCTTGTCCATCTGCTGAAGTGCAGGATTACCACCAGACAGTTATACACAAATTATTTGTATTATAAATATAATTTGAAGAGGGATTTGATTCTCAGGCCTTTCCAGCGAGAAGCAGAGTGATTATCCACTCAGCCAAGAGTTGTCATGAATAATATGGCAGCATTGGGCCCCTTAGGGCCCCATGCATGCCCATACTATCCCCATACACCAAGAGTAGGAGGGCAGGGCATGAATGGAAAGCCACTCAGGGACCCTTTGGAAAATGGCATCTCATTACATTAAACATTGAATTTCTGGGAGGTCTTCCTTTGATAGATCAAAGGAAGCAAAGGAAGCTTTGTGGAGCTAACTCTCCACAAAGAAAAACCAATTAAGTATCATTGTAGGAGAAAAAGTTGTTACCAGTAACCCCAGAGGAAACTGGCCCTTGGGTCAACAGTCCTAATGCCATGCATGCAATGACCAAGTAAAGACCTCCCTAAAAACATGCTGAAAATGGCAAAACATTGAGCTGAATATCTGCCTAGGATATATTGGAAAAGAAAGCAGACTGCACTGTTTACTTCTAGATGTCATGTGGATAAACATAAGGTTGGCTAAACATGACCACCCTGCAATCCTCCTCAAACAAGGAACCAGGGACCCCAGATTAATAAACAAAAACCTTCGAGTGGCATGCCGGGAGTAGTGCCCTGCTACCTGACTGAAGCAGCCAAGCCTCACTCAACAAATGACCACTCTGGAGACCTGCAGTCTCAGTCTTCATGAGAAAGGACGGCAAAGGCTAAAGTTGAAATAACAAACCCACAGAGCCTAAAGAACAAATACTCCACTTCTGGAAGAAGACCATGAAGCTCACCAACCCAACAACCAGAATTGAATGTGGAAAAAAATGCACTTTTTTATGTAACGATACAAACACGGCTTCCAACGTACCTTTCATTCATGCGATATTTTATTGGGATTGAATAGTAGTGTCGATTAAGTCCATGAATCAGTGCCTGAAAGAGGTAGAGAAAACTCGGTCAATTAATATAAATTTTGTATAAAAATATGCAGGTGCTTTACCTACCTGCAATGACTAACTGCTTGCAGTTAGTCTGCAAGCAGTTAGTAACTGCAAGCAACTGCTTGCTAGCTATCAGTAGCAGTAAGAGATAAATTTCATTGAAATATTTTAAGCAAAACAAAACCAGCATCGATTGCAATGAATGCCTCTTTCTAGTAACGTTTTCAGCGACTCCCTGAAGCTATCTCACCTTAGATGGGTCCCCACTACTTTGTTACATCAGTCATAGGCATACTGTTTGGCCTATCAGAGACCAGAGAGCTATAGGAAATCTGGAAAAAGGCAAATGTAATTCAAATATTCAAGAAAGGGGACAGATATGAAGTACTAACCTATAGACCAGTGTCATTAACATGCATTCCATGCAAGGTTCTAGAGAAAGTCACCAGGAAAAGGATTCTAGAACAGTTAGAGTAAATGTTATGAGGCACACCATAGCTTCAGTGAATAAAAGTCATTCTTAACAAACTTCACTGAATAGGTATGCTGCAGCATCCTTGACTGCCAAAAAGCTTTTGATACAGTTCCTCACATAAGAGTAATACACAAGATGGAGAGACAAGTGGGGATAACAGGAAAGGCACTGGAGTGGGTAATCTTGAGGTTATCTTGAGATGATTTCGGGGCTTTAGTGTCCCTGCGGCCCGGTCCTCGACCAGGTCTCCACCCCCAGGAAGCAGCCCGTGACAGCTGACTAACACCCCGGTACCTATTTTACTGCTAGGTAACAGGGGCATAGGGTGAAAGAAACTCTGCCCATTGTTTCTCGCTGGCGCCCGGGATCGAACCCGGGACCATAAGATCACAAGTCCAGCATGCTGTCCGCTCGGCCGACCGGCTCCCTCCTGACGGTAATTAGTCATATACAGTAGTTTGTCAGATAGGAGAGGAGTGGAAAGTGGTGTTCCACAGGGTCCCATTACTGCACCTCATAACATATTTTTAATTTATTTAAATGACCTCACAGAGGGAGTGAGCTCATACATGTTGATGTTTGCAAATGATGCAAAGTTAATGAGAGTAAGAACTGAAAAGGACCGAAGGGTGCTGCATGGAAAATGTAATGAAATATCAGTTTCTGGGCGAGCCCCAGAGGCTCCCTGACGCTATCACACTGTCTAAGTGCCATACTACTAGCTGTCATCAGTCACAGAGTTCTATTGGCATACCACGAGCTACAACATGGCCTCCTCAGAGGGGCCAGGGAGCGATGGCCCATGAACACTTTACATTTTTTTTTATATTTATTTATTTGGTTATCTTTGCCATCAGCCAAGGAAGCACCCAGAAAGATAGTCAAATCAAAACTGACTACTGCATGGTTAAAACAAGCCTCAATATTGCCAAAAAAAGTCTCCCACAATGAAAACAAAATTTTGGGAAACTAACCCGCCCCCCAATTGCCCCCACACCCCCAATGCCTTAGGGAAGGAGGAAGCCGGCCTGAGTCAGCCGGGCCTCTCGCACTCCAGTTCTATAATCATTAACCTTGCCAATGACCTGGGACACGAAAGGTTTAAGGAAACCTATGGGGCTTATCCAGAAACTGCCATTTCATTACATTCAAAGCTGGTTTTCTGTTGGGAGCTGTCTGCTCTGTGAAGCTAACTACCTACAGAGAAGAACAAAAAGAGTCATTCACCAGGGAGACAGCAGCACTGCAGGTATCAAGTTGAAAAAGTGATCGATCTCTGCGACACACTACCCAATGCAACACATAACCACAGAGGACTAGGGGACATTAGGTAGATACCTGGCAGCCAAGACCTCGTTAGCCCTCCAAACCCCATGCCCGAATATCAGTCCTAGACATACAGGTATTACCAAAAACGGCCAACAGAGTGGCATACTTACGGACATCATGGGCATGAGGGTAGACCACAGGCTGGCTAGCTTTAATAACACTGCAGACAACCTGAGAAATACTAGCCCTGGACCAGGGAAACTGGATCATCCCACAACGAGTCCACCAAAACAGAACCGGTAGCCCAAAGGTTAGACCAGGCCAGGTCAGGTCAGGTCACCGAGGTAATCACTACAGTATACGGGTTTTCACTTTGGAGACTCAACCTATTAAATTATTGTTGAACTAAACATAGTCAATATCATTCTCGTACCTGGATAGAAGGTTTCTGTAAATGCCCAAGGTTAGAAGTGGTCTGTCTTGGCTCTTGTCCCAGGACCATCATGTTTGGGTTGATAAGTCGGAAAGCATCAATCACCACTTTACCTATTAAGGAGAGCATAAAGCATCATTACATAAATACTGAATCCCATTCATTGGAACTCTGTAGCTGCAATTGGAATGAAAAACATTACTTTTAATGTTGACCAGACCACACACTAGAAGGTGAAGGGACGCCGACGTTTCGGTCCGTCCTGAACCATTCTCAAGTCGATTGAGAATGGTGCAGGACGGACCGAAACGTCGTCGTCCCTTCACCTTCTAGTGTGTGGTCTGGTCAACATACTTTAGCCACGTTATTGTGACTCATTGCCTGCATTACTTTTAATATTAAACAATCTTAAATCAATAACTCTGTCTGATCACATCCAAATACTCATTAGTTAAATATTTAAGCAGTTTTTATATCAAGTCTTTTTCTTTACAAAGTTTACCTCGAGTAACAATTTCAGAGTTGAGACCTATGTCAGAAACCATACCTTATTATCTGCCCAATTTATTCTCCAATATACAGGGCTGAAATATTTAATTATTTCAAAGCACTTGGGAAACTATGTTTGTACTAGAATTCATAGTTTTTACAGAACTAGTTTTATTACTTTTATAGTATTGTATAACCAATTTATTTTATTTACAAAGACTGTTAATCAGATCAAATATTGAGCTGTTGCTTCCTTAGGGTAAGTCCTGCTTTTCCCCATGAACAGGAGTATGTAGTCAAGGCATACCTATGGCTTATACCTGTGGACAATTTTAAGAGTTCATTTACTCTCGCAGCCTGGACTGGGGCTAAGCTTCTATGGTCATTACATTCTACGTGGCCCACACGGCCACACGTAGCCAGAATGAAGAAGTTACTCAAGAAGCAGCTTGTCAAGTTCCCTCTTGAAAATTGCCACCTTTGTCTCGACATTTCTTATATTTGTTGGCAAGAGGTTGAAGAGCTGTTGTGCTGTGTCTTGTGTGTTCATAGCATTCAGACTTCTCATTGGATTTACTTTACATTTCTTCCATATCTTACTAAGGTACTGTATGTAGTAATTTTATGGTGTAGGTTTGGAACCTGACCTTCCAGTATTTTCCAAATAAATATTATGGGAACTCGTTCATTTGTATCCCATAAAGTACAAATTAAATGCTCTGAGGCAATCCCAATACCTATAGTTTAATTGGTTCACTGATTATATGTGGGGTAGTAAACATCGCTATGTTTTCCAACCCTGCAATCTTGCCTGCCTTGGAGAAGGATATTAGGACCAAACAATATTCCATTTGAGATAGCACCAGTACTTTGAGAGTACCACCATTAGTGTTACCATTCAACACAATTCCTTGCGTTGAATGGTAAAACTGTTTTGGAGAGTTCATAATATTTTGTTTTTCCAAGTGAATGTTTTAGATGATGAATCTGTAAGTTTTTATAAGAGGATATTCACTAGGTTTTTGTTTTATACTTGGATTCCTAATGTCTCATCATCATTTGAGTATCTTAGCAATTCTGTGCTGGGAATTTTTTCACTCTTCTATAATATAATTTGATAAAGCAGGCTATACTGCTCTTTCAAAACTTTAGAAACAAGCAAAATATTATACAATCAGTGGAAGAGTCATTCTGGCATAAACAAACATTCAACAGGATTACCTTTTACAGACTGAATGGGATCAACGACAACAGCAACGGCACGTTCTGAGAGGGCCTCAAAACTCTGCTGTGTGTTTATATCAACACCTGAAAGCCAGCAGCCAAAGCCAGGGTGAGAGTGGTACCATCCAACAACCATCTCTGGTCGTCCAACCTGCTTCAACATGTCCAGCATTTTGGCTTGGAAAACAGGATCTACAGCTTCAACAGATACTCCCTAAATAAAAGATATACAAATTAATTAAAATATGTAGAGTATCAAATATTAGAATATGTATGTATATATACATACATATGCGGAAAAACCACAAAGAAATGGGGAAGAGATGAACGTTTCGGCCTGTTAAAGCCGTTGTCAACACCAGACTGGTGTTGACAACGGCTTTAACAGACCGAAACGTTCATCTCTCTTCCCCATTTTTTTGTGGTTTTTCCGCATACAAATGATCAGTGTTTAGCGATCGTCAATTGCATACATAAATATATACACTAACACAAATGGCAGTTGAAAGGAACCTCTAAATTATAGACACGAGTCATCAACAAGCGTGGTAGTCAAAACACTAGAAAAAATAGTTAAAGCCAAATTGGTTGAACACCTAGAGGGTAATGACATAACAGACAGACAGTATGGTTTTCGAACAGGAAGATCACAGAGATTTTACAGGAAGAAGACGGTTGGATTGACTGCATCTATCTGGACCTAAAAAAAAGGTATCCGACAGAGCTCCACATAAATGGTTGCTTTGGAAACTGGAATATATTGGAGGAATGACAGGTATGCTTCTAACATGGATGAAAAATTTTCTAACTGACAGAAAAATGAGGGCAGTAATCAGAGGCAATGTATCGGACTGGAGAAATGTCACGAGTGGAATACCACAGGGTTCAGTTCTTGCACCGGTGATGTTCATTGTCTACATGAATGATCTACCAGTTGGAATACAGAATTATATGAACATATTTGCTGACGATGCTAAGATAATAGGAAGGATAAGAAGCTTAGATGATTGTCATGCCCTTCAAGAAGACCTGGACAAAATAATGTAAATACATAGATGGCAAAATACTCAAGAAACTGAAATCGACTTTTGCTAAACCAAAGCTGGAATATGCAGCGGCCGTATGGTATTATCTTAAGAAGCACATCAACAAACTGGAAAAGGAGCAAAGACATGCAACTAAATGGCTCCCAGTACTGAAGGACAAGAGCTACGAAGGAGAGGTTAGAGGCAATATATATTCCAAAACTAGAAGATAGAAAAAGAGGCGATATGATCACTGTGACGGACTTCGGCGCCATCTATGATCTGGGTGCCGAACTATACAAGTCGACCCTCCCAGTAATCATAGCTTCCCATCTTTTAGTCTGCCAGGCTGAAAGGTGACAAGGGACCAGAGGCAGGCCAGGGAAGGCAGTGAAGTCAGGACAGTGGACGACAGAGGTCGACTTGGATGGACTAGCCAAGTGGGCTGGTCGAGCGCTGTGGACTTTACTCCTGGAGGTGCTAGCCAGTGGGGCTAGAAGAGCACTGTGGTTGAGCGCTGTAGACTTCAGTTCTGGAAGGTACTAGCCAGTGGGGCTGGTCGTGTGTTGCAGGCTTTGTTGCTTGGGCGTACCAGCGAGTGCGCAAAGAAGACCTCGGCAGAAGCACTTTGTGATTGTCAACCGTGAAGCAGGCTAACAACGCCAATCCTTTTGACCTCTCATAGCATTGTATGTATTATATATATGGATTCTAATGGTGATGGGAAATAATAATGGGATATTTTAAGTGTCTTTCTTTTAATATTACCTTTCTTGAGGTTATCTTGAGGTTATCTTGAGATGATTTCGGGGCTTTAGTGTCCCCGCGGCCCGGTCCTCGACCAGGCCTCCACCCCTAGGAAGCAGCCCGTGACAGCTGACTAACACCCAGGTACCTATTTTGCTGCTAGGTAACAGGGGCATAGGGTGAAAGAAACTCTGCCCATTGTTTCTCGCCGGCGCCCGGGATCGAACCCGGGACCACAGGATCACAAGTCCAGCGTGCTGTCCGCTCGGCCGACCGGCTCCCCAAGCCTTTAAACATTACACTACATTTCCACCAAGATTAGGGTCCTCTGAACTCGAGTAGGATCACAGTTTATCAAAGAACCTGGTTACGAAGGGTACGTACAAAATAATAACAAGAATCAATAAAATTGATAGGGAAGAATTACCGAGACCTGGAACTTCAAGAACAAGAGGTCGTAGATTTAAATTGACTATACAAAGCTGCCGAAGAAATAAGAAAATTCACATTCACAAATAGTGGTAGACGGTTGGAACAAGTTAGGCGAGAAGGTGGGGGGAGGCTAAAACCATCAGTAATTTCAAAGCGTTATACAACAAAAGATTACTGGAAAGATGGGACACCATGAGCATAGGAACTACACTTGGGTAATTACTGAAGCACATTAGCACATTCTCCTGTCCCACAAGAAATTTCATGCTATTCACATGAAGCAACTAGAATATTAATTTTTCTAAGGCAATTTGGGGGTTATGTTACAGAATAAACACTTACAGTTCCACTTTGAGGCATGGCAAAGACATCAATAACTCTGACAGTGTAGTCATCAACAAACTCTCCCAGCATAAGACCCATGACTTCCATTGGCACTCCAGCTCGACCGTGCTTTAGCATCTTCAGTAGTGCCAAAGATGAAATGTAAACCTGAGGAAAAATTATTTTTAAACCTCACATTGATGAAATTATTAAAATCTAAAACTAGTTTTGTAAGAAAAATAAACTGACAGAAGAACTGAATTATATACAGCAAATGGTCCAATCATAAACAAAATAAAAAATTTCACTAAGGTAGAAAACATTTGCAAACCTGTTCAGCAGTATCGGGAACTGGAGCATCATTGGGCGGGGGTCCTTGACCAAGTGCTGGTAGACCACCTCCAAGGCGCAGTAGACGATCCATGTTTTACTGCGCGAGATGCTGTACATAAATATTTACTAATTCACATTTACAAGATACCAGACTGAAACAATTTATGTATTACCCATTTAACCATTAAGAATGTAGTTACAATCTTAGCACAGGTATTACCTATACAACCATTAAGTGTGCAGTTACAAATAATCTTAGTAATGTGCAGAGGGAATTAATAAGCCATGTGCACATAAACCCTTTGGCTGTAAGTTTGAGGCTCAAAAAAACAGTGTTGAAATGTAATGAAATTACTTAAAATTACCTAATTAAAATTATCTGTTAGATTAAGGACCTGCCCGAAACGCTGCGCCTACTAGTGGCTTTACAAGATTGTAAATACTATGCTATGTATTCTCACAAACCCAATGTACCTTCTTATATATAAATAAATAAAAATAAAATATAAAATAAAATAAATGCCAATTTCTGGCCTTCTGGCAAATTGTGTATTTTGCCAATTATAAAATTTAAATTAAAATATATAAGGAGATATAAACACGAACTGAAAAAAAAAAAAAAATAGATTTTTAAGCAAAATTTGGATTACCCAGGGAAGGCCACACGAGTCCCACCACTGGCCTAACAGTCTTACCTAAGGTAAGGTAATTATGAGGAGAAAGCACTAAGCCAGTAGGACTATATAACCTAAGCTAACAGTCTTAACAACTAAAAAAAATGTAATTTGTCGAAAATGACTTGACCATTACCCATGAATACCCTTTAAATTTTGCCCCGAGGGGCAAGTTTATTGGGCAGCGCCACTCATCCTGTGAGTGGACAGGATTTTACTGTGGGTGGACACACCGCCATAGCAGCATGTACAACACTCCCCAATAGGAAGAAAACCCGCTGGGTTGTTCATCCTGTCACTTGTACAAAAAAAAAACTCTAGTCTGACTAATCCATCGTAAAATGCTGACGAAATACATAAAATGCTGTATTTCTCTAAGAACCTGAACTTCACAGCATGCAGTTACAATACACCAACAACAACAATAACCCAACTAGACTGGTAGATAAGGTAGAGGTAGATAAATACACTGAGAGAGGAGAGAGAGAAGAGAGGTGCCGGGCTGCTGTTGCTGCTCCTCGACGCTTACCGTCCAAATTTGTCAACATTGCTCAAAACTCGACTTAATGAAGCAGTTAAGCTGTTCACCTCTTTTGAAGTTGTTTAACATAGGTATGCTTTATATTTTATTATAAATTAGCAAAATAGGGTGATATATTTTACGATAACTACTTTTCAGGTAATAAATAATTTATTAAGTCGACTTTATATTAATAAATTATAGAGATAGCTTATATTATAATGTTTAATACACTTTATTTTTTAAAACGAATAAGAATAATAACTATATGTTATTAGAGAAACTGACATTAGCCCTGTGCTTTTATACATAAATATTAAAGTTGCTTGTATAAATTCTATCCGAAACAGTTTGTTAACTTTACAACAGCAGTTATCACATCTCTGTGCTCTTTACAACCCCTTGTTACAGCCACTTAGCCCCGTAGTCTTTATTTGATTACAATGGTTTATAATTGTATTATATCTAATTGAACATTATATAAATCCAATAAAATCCGTCAAAAGTTATCCATCTACGTCCATAAACTTCCAATATTTAGCTAGCCTATCATATCTACAAAGCTAATTAACGGTGCATATTTTGACCTGAATGAGTTAACGACTAATCAAGTGAGTGAATGAGTATTATATAGTATGAGGTGTTGAGCCATGTGGTGTGAGTGTGAGAGTGGCGGGGAAGTGAGCCATCAGTGTGGCTCCACAACACTGACAACATGGGCGATACCGAGGTGGGTTGGCACACACACATGTCTTGATATATTTATATACTTTATCTTGCCTGGTTTAATGATACTGGCAAATTAGTACGAAGATTAACGGCGTGCCTCGCTCTACAGGTGATAGAGAAGCTTAAAGGGGTGCCGCAGCTGCTGGCGTCGACGTCTAGAGCTAGTAGAGCAGCCGGCATCAACACAGCTCTGGAGGTTGTCAATAGACAAGGTATTTGCTTATACACTCGTAGGTGTATTCTAGCTAGGTGTATACTAGGTAGGTGTATACTATTCTAGGTGTATATACTATGTAGGTGTATTTCAAGTGATTGCTGGTAGCTGTATTGTTAAAATCATCGGTTGTGGGATCCCTGGATATCTTGTGTGAATAGTAGCACCACACTTGACACAATGGTTGGAATCTTACAATAACATAAATTTGTAGTACAGTATAGGCATTTTTGTCCCACTATGGTCCCAGGTCTTATCATTTAGTGAGGAAAGTGGCCAGCTTGGAGGTTGTGTAACAATCTCTGGGGGCCAGGCACTGGAGATGGTGGTACCCGACTGCTGTACTTTTGGTACGTTGCTATGTGTCAGTATGTCGTATTCTGGGGAATATTAGGATTAAGGATTTGCCTGAAACGCTAAGCGTGCTAGTGGTTGTACCAGAATGTAAGAACTCTTGTATATATAAATAAATAAAAAGTTTATTTTAAATGAAAATTAGCCACTTGTATAGCAGCAAGCATGTGCTTACAATTAAAATAATCTATTATGTAATCACTTATAATCACTTATGTCGGTTCCAGAATGAACTGTCACCTGGGCACATGTTAACTGCTAGGTAGACAGGGGTAATAGGGAAATGCACCCAACCATTTCTGTTCCACCCAGGATTTGAACCCGGAATTCTCGATTGTTAATCGAGAGCGAACAAACGGATGTGTGAAATTTGCAGCAATCCCTGGCGCTCCGGATCTTGCAGCATTCCCTGGTGCAGTTGGCATACGAATATTTCTTTTTCAGAATTACCAGAAGTTGTTGTGAAAGGGGTATCCCGCCTGGCTGTGCAGGTGGTGCAGAATTACACAGATGGTCCACTACGAAGCAAATTACAGGAGTTGGTTTACACCTTGGCTAAAAAGCATGCAGCATCCATCCCAGTTCTGGCACAGTCACTCCACCACCAGGCCCAGCACCATGCAAATGCACCTCATTCTTCGTAAGTGTTTTGTAGTCATTATTAAATTTGTTTACAATAAGTATTTACAAATAAAAACTGTGTTCATAGTCTCAATACAAAAAACTCTATGTAGAATACAGGTACCTAATTGTACTTGCCTAATTGTGCTTGCGGGGGTTGAGCTTTGTCTCTTTGGACCTGCCTCTCAACCGTCAATCAACTGGTGTACAGATTCCTGAGCTTACTAGGCTCTATCATATCTACATTTGAGACTGTATGGAGTCAGCCTCCACCACATCACTGCCTAGTGCATTCCATTTATTAACTACTCTGACACAAACAAATGTCAGGTGTAAGCATATAAAATATGTATTCAGTGTCCCTCTTAAAAAATAAACAAGGTTAAACTTGGAAAGAGGACTCTTAAGACTTATACCTCAAATTATTATTACAATATTACAATAAACACAAGTGAAACACCCTGCCTAGCACTCGTTGTACACCACTTGCCGTAACTCTCGCGAACCATCACAGTTAATTTGATAATTTCACTTGTAAACAAAGGATGTCTGTACTGAATTAAAGCCCCAATTAAGTGATGCTGTTAGCACCTCAGCAATATTTATATTTTTTATTTTTTGTTTCCTTTGATTTCCAGTGTGAATCCATGGACTCTGACCTTTTATAATGATTTGGTAAACTGTTCTAAGTATTCATAATACTGTACTGTATTGTCTTGAGATATGCTTAGTATTGGGAATGGAATGCCACTTATGACTGGCTTCAATCAAAACATGCATAGATTGCTTCATTGTAGCATAACACATTTTCCTTCTTGACTAATGCAAGAGCCGGAGCCGGTCGGCCGAGCGGACAGCACGCTGGACTTGTGATAATGCGGTCCCGGGTTCGATCCCGGGCACTGGCGAGAAACAATGGGCAGAGTTTCTTTCACCCTATGCCCCTGTTACCTAGCAGTAAAATTGGTACCTGGGTGTTAGTCAACTGTCACAGGCTGCTTCCTGGGGGTGGAGGCCTGGTTGAGGACCGGGCCGCGGGGACACTAAAGCCCCGAAATCATCTCGAGATAACCTCTCAAGATATGCACTATTTTAGCATTGCACTAATGTATCTTTACTGAACTATTTCAGCCGTGCCCTTGCTCGTGTCCATATATCTCCGATGGAGGTGGCAGCCAGAGTGTGGTGCATAGCAGCCGGTGCCAAACATTCCCTCGGCTCTAAAGAAGCGACGGCATTAACCGAGGCTTTAGCTGTCCATTTTGCAATAACTGTTGCGGCTAACCATGTCATCTTCACCCGAAGAGCCAATAAGGCAATTGGCTCCTTATTGAAGGATGAATCGCTTCTCAAGGCTGTGTGCCAAGTATGTAGCTCGCTTACATTTTAACTTTTATATTTTGGAAGTTATCTCATATTTGAGAAAGTCATGAGCCTTTTCATTTGGCGTTGCCTCCGTCTGTAGAAAGCCAAAGATGTCATATGTCTGTTTTTTTTCTGGAATGGGGTTTAAAATATTTTTCTACAAATTGAGTAGAAGTGAGTTTATTCTTGCTGGTAGTCTGGTATAAAGTCTTGCTTGCTGGTATAAATAAAGACAAATCTAAAAATGATAGGTGTCAAAGGTATATATTTGATGGGTGTCAAAGGTATATATAATTTTCTGCAAACTATGGATTTTGTGTAGCTCGCATTAACTTTTGTTTTAATAGATTGTGCTATCACAGTTGTCTATGTATTTATATAGTGTGACTTGTAATTTGTAAAATGCCCATAGGTAAATATGGTACATACCTGGTAAATAATATAGTTGATATTTATAGGAAGGAATGTAACTAAATTGAACATAATTCACTACAGTACATTATTTGTTCCATAGGCTATTATCAGCGGTGATGTTACCATTCATCGAGTCATCTTGGGTGGCCATCTACTGCAGAGTATGGTTGAGGCCAAACTTACTCCTCCTATTGATAACTTCAAGCAGGTGCTGATTGAAGCATATGTCAAAAATGTGCTTCAATCAAAGAATAAAGTAAGACAATTATTTATCTAACATCTGTTTTTCATCTGTTGGGTTATTAATTTTTTTTAATGTTAACAGTTCAGAATATGGTGATCATCTATAAGAATTGACATGTACAAATTAAAATATTACTGTCATAATTTATGTAAGAAATAGAGCATCGTGTATAATGAAACCACTTTCTGGCGAGATCCCTATTGGCTCTTCAGAGCTCTTAAACATTGGTACCTCCTGGATTAATATCGTCTCACCAGGTGTCTTAAGACGATCTTGCAGTATGCCAGTAGCAGGGGCACATTGTGTTAGCAGGGCAGACAGCCCGCATGCCTTCATAATTCTCACTGTATTTCCCATTTCTGAACTTCCCCTTCACTACTAAAACATTCCCTTACTCCCCCTCCTCCTCCCACAAAAAAGGGGGGTGCTAAAATCCTGCTTTCTCATGAGAGGGAAGATAAGACACCAAACATTGAGGGAAACATCACCCACCAAAAAGATAAAAAGAGGGTACCTCTCAACTTTCCAGTACACTCTCATACTTGTTTTTGAAACTGAATAATAGGGCCTTCAACCACCTCTGGTTCTGGCTTATTCCAGTTGTTTGTCACACTCCACAATAGGAAAACTTCCATACATTTCTGTAACTCGGGTGGTTCTAACTTCTGCCCGTGTCTCGTTCTGTTGTCCCTCACCGGGAAGGCTCGCTCCCATTCATATTAGTATTTTGTAGGCTGTGATCAGTTTGTCTTGTGTCTTTCTCTTTCAATGTCGTTAGTTTTAGCTAATTTTTCATATTTCTGTTTCCTATCTTCTGGGAAATTTTAGGGCCTTCTCAATTATTTACTTTTGCATTACCAATAGATGCTTTCATGCTGGAACTGTGTATTATGAGACTGGTCTTAACATAAGACAATTTTTTTTAGAATTCTTCAATAGAGTTCTTGAAAATCATACTTATGTTTCTATTATTGCATATGCACTAGATGTTACCTGCTTGATACCAGCTTGATGGGGTTCTGGGAGTTCTTCTACTCCCCAAGCCCAGCCCGAGGCCAGGCTTGACTTGTGAGAGTTTGGTCCACCAGGCTGTTGCTTGGAGCAGCCTGCAGGCCCACATACCCATCACAGCCCGGTTGGTCTGGCACTCCTTGACGACAATCTAGTTTTCTCTTGATGTCCACGGTTGTTCCGGCAATATTTATTACCATGTTCTGGTAATGGATTCCTCTGCTATTAAGGCCGATGTTAATCAACTTGCAGGTCTTTCGTAGGGGGCATTGAAGGGCCCCAGTGCCTTCCTGAAGCTAACTCCCTGAGATTGCTCTATGCAAGTGGATCACATTAAATGTGGGAGTTCTATTTGGTTTACCAGTGACCAGAGCTAAAACCAGACCAGTTTTAAGTTGAGCTAAAACTTGGTCCTCCCTCACAGAGCCACAGAGCAATTGGCAATTTGCCACCACGCCTGAAAAGCATCTATAAAGTCCGATGCTTTCTGACTTTCTGAAATGCGAGATGAATTTAATCCAGAATTTGCTACATTTGAATTTGCATGGGATTTTTTTTATTGAATTCCCTGTCAAAGGCTAATCCTTTCCATGATCATATTCAAAATGTTATAAAGGTATTTTAATATTTTGGATACATTTTTGCTGCCTTTTAAAGAAATGTGGGCTGTCTTTTTCTTGTAGACATCATGTAATTACTATATAGCCTTAGTACTTGACAATGAATTGTTTAGAAAATACACCTTCTTTCATAGCCCTGGCCATTCATCCTGGAACACACCCGACCGCTGCTGCGTCAACTGACTCACCAGGAGTTCTCAAGTGTAGTTTTACCAGCTGCTAAGAAAGCTCTCTTGCGCAACCCTGAGGTTACTCTTCAAGCCGTAGCCTACCTCTGCTCTGGGCTCAATCTCGATCTGAGCAAATATGGGGCTGATTTGACAAAGACATTAGCAAGTAAGTTCCTTTATTACTGATTACAAATATAAGTGCACATATATTATACTTTAGTAATACGCTCGAATGAACCTCACTCTATTGAACTTCTGCATTTGTTGAACATATTAGTGTTCAGTTCAAATTGTTTATTGTATAAGTATCCACTTGTGAGGATTGATCTCCTAAACCACCACTATGCCAGCCTGTCAGGATGTGTTAATGGTAAGTCTACTTAATGAAAACATAGACTACATATGCTATGTATATAATATATATACAGTATACTATACACAGTGAGCAATTTGATGAAACTGCTCACTGGGGAGAGGGGCTACAGATTATCCTGCAGCATCACTCACGGTGAACAGCCAATCACATATTGTTCATTCATTGCACAGAAGGGGTGGGTGGGAGGAGCTTTGGAACTAAGATCACACAAGGCACCAACCTTATATGCTGGTTTAAAATCCAGTACACCAGTACAGTTGCTTATGGTTCACCTTCAGTGCAAATCTTCAACTTTAAGGCAAAGTGCAAGAGCTATTTTTCGTGTATCTGATACACGTGTGGTTTAATCCCAATAGGCGAGTGACTAGGGGAGGTCTCAGAGCTTCCCCAGGCCAGCAACACCTTCTTGAGAGCTGTTCTACCTTGTTCTCCATCAAAGGGCACTTTTAATTTATTTGTTCATGTGATAATCAATTATCAGACACACATGGTGTGTGTCCCATATAGTGTCAGATTTTGTCTGTGCTAGGGGGGTTTGACCTAGTGTTTGAAATGCAAAAATGTGGGATAAGTCCTATTGTTTCTACATATATCATTATGAAAGTATAGGAAAAGAAGTATAATAAAGAAATACCTGAAAGCAATCCATGATTACTTAAATATATAGAATTTTGTTAATTTTTCTATTGGTAATTTGTTAAATTGAATTAAAATTGTTAACATGTATTTGTAAATGTTTCTGTAGGCCCTCTCCATGCAAAGGAAGATCAAGTTCGAGATGATACCGTCGAGGTGTGTCGGCAACTAGCAAAGCAGTGTAGTGATGTAACTGCTGTAGAAGCCTTTGTGAAGCTATTGTTTGACATCTTTTTTGGTTCTGATGGAAAGCTTACTGTTACAACACACAAAGTGTCGGTACTTCAGGTTAGTAGTGCAGTATTAAGAAGTCACTCTGAGATAGCTACAGGGAGCCAATGAAGCTCTACCAGAAAGAGGTGTTTCATTACGTTTAACACTGTTTTGGTTTTAATTCTCAAATTAAATATAATGGTGTAGGAATTTTGTAATTGATTGCTATTATATTTTGCCCAAATTTTAAATATTGAAGGTGGAAAAAAGATTAGAGGTGTTTTGATAAATTCCAGAAAGTTTATTTTTCATATACTGTTCTATATTTTAAAGGTGAAGATTCACACATTAAGCAACTTGAGATACATTAAATGGGATATACATTTTCAATTATATTTGCAGGGTGTTGAAGCTGTAAGTGAACACAGTGTTACAGGCAGTAGCTCCTATGGTTTATCAGTGAATGTGTTGGAAAAGATGATCAAAGTGTTGGAGACTGAGAGCCATGAAGGAACTCTGATACAGGCTCTTGTGGCTCTTGCAGCTTGGTCAGTAAAGTTTACCTCGGATATTCCTCAGAAGCTCCTCGAATTCTTGCCAGTAAGTTCCTCTTTCATTTACCGAGATTTACTATTGTACGTGCAAATTGCTATATATTTTCTGGTGTGTATGGCAAGTTATACTGTTACTACTTCTGAAACACTTGCCAGGTATTATGGGCTTCTCGAATGTACACATGTAGCTTGCAGTTGCTGGTAACTGTTACAATTATTATATACATGCTGGAGTAAAACTTATGTACAAAGATTGCATGTGTGTTCTTCATATTTTGCTGTCCTTCATTGAGATCCATACGTTCACCAACAAAATTTAAGTTTTATATTTAATGTTAAGTATTTAATGACTTCTTTTCCAACAGAAAGGGATGACACTGAAAACTTCTACAACTAGTGTGCGAGCTGCCTACGTGCGGTGTATGTTGAGTTGTGTAACACCATCAAATGCCTGCAAAGCTGCTTGCATCATTCCCCATTTATTGGCCAGCATTGATAAAGCACTTAGCCAAAGTACCCAGGTAATATATGCATTGTTTTAATAAATTTTTCTTCATTATCATTACTCTAGTCAAGCCTGGCTCTGGGCCAGGTACCCGGGTACCCCATTTCCCAATTAAATATGGTGTAGAGGCATTTGTCTGGTAAAAAAAGTGAACATTGCAGATGTGGATAAACATCAGAATGACAAACAACCATTGTCAATATATTATTCACTAAAATAACATTTAAGGATAATCACAACCAAATTTATCAAATAAAGAAGTCAAAAGAAAGGCTCTAAGCAGAGCCAAATTAAGGAGAAAAGCAGAGATACATTTTAATCCATTGGCTACGACAATTGTTTTCAGTCCTAACCCTATGGATGATTGACGTTTAAGTTCCTCCAATCTAAATTGTTGTACCCGAGTCTCCTCTGCCCTGACTTCTTACCTCTTTTTCTTGATCAGTTTTCTGTCCTGAAGTTTCTCCACTGTAAATATGTTTATAGCAATCCATAAAATGCACCAAACTTCCTTCAGCATTGTGTGAAATTTTTATAATGTTCTAGGTACCTACAAGTTTATAATCCAAATAGTCAACTACTGTCAGGGCTCCAGCTTCAAATTATGATGAACTAGTCAAAACCTAATATAAAATTTACTTACATTAAGTTGCTGGAATGAAATATGTTACATGCTTGTCAGAGAAACAGCTACTGTACAATATATTAAATAGTAATACAGATATTTATAAATTTGTTTTAAATTATCTGATTTACCCATCAGGTTCCTATGCTTGTTGAGGCGTTAACTTCATCAGTACTGCTGCTGAGGTTGAGTGCTGCTGATATTACCTTAGAGGAGAGGGTTGCTCCAGTGTGGAACTCGTCCCTTGATCTTCAAAAGGGTTACTTTACTGGAGAAAAGTTCTTCACCCAGTCTTCAGAAGATGGTTAGTAACAATATGTACATGGTTGTTGTTGACCAATCCACACACTAGAAAATGAAGGGACGACGACGTTTCGGTCTGTCCTGGACCATTTCTCAAGTAGATTGTGAGAAAGTCGACCATTCTCACAATCGACTTGAGAATGGTCCAGGACAGATCGAAACGTCGTTGTCCCTTCCTTTTCTACTGTGGATTGGTCAATATACTTCAGCCACGTTATTGTGACTCATCGCCTGTACATGGTTGTTAGATTACTAATATATTTGTATTAGTGTTATTTACGATTTGGTTTACTATTGTCAGGTACAGAAAACCTGTACTTGGAAAATCCAGGTTCCTCTTGGCCAACTATCCACCTTTCCCAGGATGCAATCCACAACAATTTTCTGACTACTGATCAGAATAAATATGTCTTACTTTTCCTACATTAGTATCATTGTTATACATTGCAGAAGTATTAGTTAGCTTTTATCCAATTCAGTATGATACACTATGAAACGACTATCATTTGCAAGTATTTTGATATAAACAAAAATCATTTGTGCAACAAATTGCCAGACAAAATTATTTGTTTCCACATGAATAGCTGCTTGTGCTTGTTAAACTTTGGGGAGGCACTTGCCAAGAACATAAGCTTACTGAAATACAGTATGTGAGCTGTTTATGTATTTTTGTAAGAGTTTCTCAGTTTGTGTCATAGTTGTTGGCTATTTTATCTGACTTAATTTTTGCAAATATAACTGTTTTTTTCTCATATCATTGGTTAATCAATACATTACATAATTTTTTATTTCACAGGTTTACTACAGTTGGTAGCATGGTGCGAGTTGCTTTTATCACAACACGCTGGACGGCTTGGTAATGAAAGTCATGCCATTCATCAGGCACTTGTGTGGTGTCTGGTGTGCCATCACTCCAAAGTTCGAATATCAGCTCAGGCCACTACTAAAAAGCTAGTATCTTCTTTAGGAGGAGCAGTATTGGCCGCAGATCTTCTCGAGACTCTTTCAGCCATGACTGTTAACTCCAAAATTCAGGTATTTGTTGTAACTAATAGATGTTAGGCTTATCTTCTGATTTTAGTGTAATGCTTCTAAAGCATGGCTAGGAAAAATGTTATTGTTGATTGATAATTGTGTACTGGAACGGAGAGAAAAGATAAAATGAAAGAACTTGACAATTTATATTTAAAATAATCAGATGTACTGGTCCGGAAGCAATCTGGGTTTGCATGAAATCCAGATTTCCGAAACATTGCCCTCTAGGCTAGCCCTCGGTTGTTCTCTGGTGGTACTGGTCGTACCTCTGGTACCACAAACAGCCAAAAACTACCAGACCAGACCATTAAACATACCGGTATTCATATTTAATATATTAAAAAAAAAATTATATATTTTCTTTCTATTGTATTTATGCCCTCCCCAGATCTTCCCCCATGTGTTATACCTTTACTTTACATTTGCAGAATATTTCATTTTTGTTCTCTGGCTTCTTGAGCTTAGATTTTGTATCACCCATTCATATCGCTTCCTGTGTCAAGTAGCTTTCTTAGTTCATTTCCTAACTTACACTTTATATTTTCAGCATTCTTTGCGTTCGTATATTTTCTGTATATTATACTGAACATATGTTAAAAAATTTAAATAAATTAGTTGGTTTATTCTATTTTATTGATTTTATTTAAACAAACTGGGAAAAATTGCATGTAATTATTGCTATCATTCTACATTGTGACTGAAAACAAAATAGGTTAACTTATTTATGGCCTATTTTTTACATTTACTTATGAATAAGTATTTTATCAACTTTGTGCTTTTCCCTTTTAACTTTGAATTATGTTTGTGACAGAAAGCAGAAGAGCAAGATTCTGGGGGTGGAAGTGGAGGAGGAGAGCTGAGCCCAGCTGGGGTGGCTCAAGCTCTCACTACCATTTGTTCTCCCAGCAGTCATGACAAAGCCCAGAAAGAACACTTGGCCCTATTAGCTCTACCAACAGCCTTCCACCCATCTCTTGGTAAGCTGCCATATCATTTCTAAGCTCTACCAACAGCCTTCCACCCATCTCTTGGTAAGCTGCCATATCATTTCTAAGTCTTGGTTTCCAAATTAAACCACTGTGATAGATCAATGCTAAAATTATTATTAGTTAATGTTTTAAGTTATTAATACCTACAGGGAAAATAAGTTTTTTCGCGTGTGCTTAGGGTTATCTTCCCTGTGAACTCGGTAAGTACAGTTCTACTCTTGTGCGATCAGGGTCTGCTTACCCTGGGGCGATTGGGGAAACACTGCCGCTAGGGGTGGTTCTCGCACCTTGGGGTTAAGCCTGTGGGCTTGGGCTTTGTCTTGCCTCAGGTTTGGGAGTGTTGGCTATAAATTCGGTGTCAAAATGTTGGCAAATGAATTCTTTATAGAATAGATACAAAAGTGTATTTATAACAGATTTTGCTTCTCTGCACTCATTTGCGATCATAATTATAGCAGGCTCATAAAGTCCTGGGGCCAGATTCACTAAAGCACTTACGCAAACACTTACAAACGTGTACATCTTTCCTCAATCTTTGACGGCTTTGGTTACATTTAGTAAACAGATTACAAGCATGAAAACTTGCCAATCAACTGTTGTTATTGTTATAAACAGCCTCCTGGTGCTTCGGAGCTCATTAACTGTTTAATAATTGTAAACAAAGCCGCCAAAGATTGAGAAAAGATGTTCAGGTTCATAAGTGCTTTTGTGAATCTGGCCCCTGGTCAGTGATGCTTAAAATGTTTACAATCATTTTGTTTTCTGAATTATTTGTTGGCTTATACAGTACAGTAACTATAAATTTGGTGTTAAAATGTTCACAAATGTATTTACAGAACAGATGCAAAAGTGTGTTTGTAGTAGATTATGGGTGCCAGTGATGAAAATACAGTACAGTACTAATGTTTGTGAATAATAATCAGATGGTAGGTTTCGGCATCACCGAAACATCTTCTGTTGGAGTACAGGTAGTGTATTTTAGCATCATCTAATGCGAAAGTGATGTGATTTTGACAGTAATGGAGTTAGCTTGATTATTTAACAATTAGAGAGAGACTATGGAGATACAATCATTCATGTTATGTATAAAAATAAAAAAAAATCCAACATAATTTTTCATTATAGAATTATTAATTTGTATGCAGAATGTAAGAAAAACGTGAAACTAAGTGAATATTTATTGTTTCACTGGGTGGAGGTGCTCTCCAAGGCTGCATCTGGCACTTGTCAACACCTGGTGCTCTTTCGACACTGACACTTCCTGTTTAATCCTCCGATGTTTCAATGATTGTTTTATTACTTGTTTTTCTTTATTTACATCCACATAGAGCTTGTATATCCATATTTGCATCATACATGTACAACCCAGACAATAATTGTTTAAATTATCATATGACGATAACCTCATTCCCTAGAAACATTAATGTCGATAACATTTGTACAGTGAATTGGTAGGACTTTTTTTCATGGGTTGAGGTAAACTCCTTCACATCCACATAGACCTAATGTATCCATATTTGCATCATGCATGTAAAACCCAGACAATATTTTGTAAATCTTAATATAATGATAACCACATTACCCTGTGAATCAACAATTGACAATAACTGCTGTCTAAGGGGGTAACAGCCAAGACCTAAATATTTTGGAGAGAGTTGACCAGACCACACACTAGAAGTTGAAGGGACGACAAGGGTCGTCCCTTCAACTTCTAGTGTGTGGTCTGGTCAACATACTTCAGCCACGTTATTGTGACTCATCGCCTGCATTTTGGAGAGAGAATCTTTTGCTTGAAAATGATCTTGTTAGTAGAGTTGCAGTATCTTCTCAAGTGTCCAGACGTGGTGGCAAGAGGTAAATTTCAAAGCACTAGTCAACTGACTTGTAACTTTATTTATCTTCCCTGTATAACTTTACATTTCTTCCTCCCCAAACAGTCCGTGAGAACCCAGATGTGTGGGAGCAAGTGTGTCGTTCACAGGGCTTAAAAGCATATGATGTAGTATCCAGCCAAAAAGATAAGGTTGTTCAACAATTTACCACTGAATATACTCCATCACCGGTTAATGAGCAGGTATTTATAATCTAAGTATATTTTTTGCTTTGAAGTAATTAAGCAGTGATGATTTTTATCTAATGCAATAATTTGGTGAGAAGCATAATTTATTGTCTTGTATGATGCTGTGATAATGAGTAGTTGATAGTGGCATAGCCTGAATATACATATTAAGTGTCCCTAGCAGTGTCACAGTTTTTACTTGCTAATTAGGTTTACCTTGTTGGGATTCCTTATGGGTTTTGTTATGATTCTTTTCTTAAAGTCACTAGTCAGTATTTAGAGAATGTCTCATTGTATTGATATGAAACATAAAATTCCAAAACTTAATCCCAAGAACATGACTTTGGTTAAAATTGTGTAATATAATCAATAACAAATATTCGTTTTTAATTTTTGTACAATATTAGAAAAGCTAGTTCTGTTGACATGAAATATACAACACCAATTGACTGGATTAAATTATAAAAATTGTTGTGTATAAATGAAGTCTTGAAAGAAATTTTGATTCTTGCTGTACTAAAGATAGTGCTTGATATAATGTAAGTATTAACCCAGGACATAATCACCTATTTTATAATTGATAGACTGTGAGAAGCATTAATTTGCATTATCTGTAATAATTTGTGAACCACTTTGTCCTGTAATTTTTTTAGCTTTTATACTTGGTTTTCTCGAATAAGATTAAATAGTCGTTGCATATAAATTGAGCACTCATCCAGGTTGTCATATAGCATGTCATTATTGGGAAATCTTAGGTATCCCTACTGATTAATACTGTACTGAAATAGTTGCTGTAATAGAAATGAATTCGGCATAGAAATGACCATCAGAGAAATTTCAGAATTAGGAATTCTGTCATAAGAGCCCAGGGAGGAAGAAGGATTGAGGGTTGAAAATCTTGGAGGATGAGGATGAAGAGTCGGTAACCTTGATAATACTTTAGCCATTTACTCTTGCAGATATTTTCGGGCCTCTGTCGTATTGCTGGTCGAGTCGTATTGCCCCCTGTTATGGACTTTATTTATAGTCGATTAAATAATCCAAAGCTGGTGCAGGTGACGGATGAAGATTATGCCATATACTTAACTCCAGAAGGAACATTATACAACCAATCAGTTGTTGAAAAGTGAGTAAAATATGTATTCATTTTTGTGAATTAAAGGTTTTCTGTTTTCATCTTGGATGACTTGATCCTTTTGGGGGAGTCTCCATTGTGTTTTTATTCTTGTAGTAAGGGGTACAATCTTATACTGACAGGGTTAATTATATGATATTATTAGTTGGTTATTAAATTAACCTATTCTTAGGTTAATGTTATTCAGTAATAACTGTAATAAGATGTTAACTTATGAAATCTTGATAACTATTGCTAAGACTTAAAAAAAATTCAGTGAAGACTGTTTAATTCTGTTATTTAATATTCGGGCCAGAATCTTAAGTACAGTACTATGATAATCAAACTATATTAAAAAAGATATTAATGGATTTTGGGCTTTAAAGTTTATTTCATAGTGATCTTCATTGAAAAACAGGAATAATTAATGGTACAATCAGTAAAGAATGGATCCAGTGAAAATACAAAGTTGCCTCAATAATTCTTTCCCTTGGATGGTTTGAAGGACGGTGCCTAGTCTCAGATCATGAGTGATCCCAGAGCCATAAGGCTCTGGGATCACTAATGACGTGAACTTGACATATTTTATGCATTGTATGTTGTGAAGTGAGAAGTTTTGGTGTGGTGGCGTTTACCCGAGTGGAGTCGCTGCTCGCTGACTTCACTTTATCACCCATTTGTAGTCTTAATTTACAGTGTAATTTATAGTATTACACCTACTGTGAGTATATCAGTAGGTGTAATCACTTGATTATAAACTGTTTTGTGCAGTGTTTGGCTTTTGAGTCTAGTAAATCACATGCATATATAGTTGTAATCTTCCATTTTGCATCCTTAATGGCAATTAGTATACAAATAAGCATCTATATTGCTGTTCAAAAGCTAATGAAAAAATTAAGAAATCTTGACATAACTTCTAAACAAACCTATTTAAATCTTGGAAAATGCATTCACATCTTTGCAGTCTTGTATCTATTGTGCCCAGGTAAAAAATCACACTAAGCACCTGTAGTTTTGTTTATTTTTGTCAATTACAGTTTTCTGTCAGTTATGTTAATACCAGATATATGCTTGACTGTATAGTCGGTATATCCATAATTTTTGTAATCGATTTTAAAGTATGGACCCTAGTGTATTATAGCACTACTGATATATTTTTTAGGGTGAATTATATAACGACAGACAAGTGATGTTTTTCATTTTAATTGTCTGTCTTTGTGTTCATTGCTTCCCCCCACTTTATGAAAATGGAAAGATGAGGACTTCAAATGTTACCTTTATCATAGCTGTTCACCATATAAATTTATAATTTTCTGTTGTTCCAGAGCATTTGAAGATCATTTGAATATTAAAAATGTCAAGAAATCAAATAAAGTGTACAGTCATAAAGAGCAGATAATGATGCTTGAGGAACGGAAGAAGGAACTAGAGAGAAAACGTAAGGAAGGTAAATTAGAGTTGACACCCAAGCAGAAAGAAGTGTTGAAAGCTCAGACAGAAAAGGAAAATGCTGTAAGAAATAGGTAAGAATATTTAAAGTATATTTTACCATTAATTGCAAGTCTACATGTTTAATCATTATAAGTTTTGTGTTTTCATGTATTTCATATGGTTTGAGTCTTGATATTATAGCAGCAGGGTAGTAATTAGTCGGCATAAAGTTTGTTTAAACTTTTCAGCCCTAGCATTTTAAACCCAAATTGCATTTCCTGAGCTGAGGTTTCTTGAATATCTCCTGGGCAGAGGGCCTCTCTCTGTGGGTGCAGAAAAGTTTGTATCTACCATCCCAATTCAAGAATAACAATTTCTTGGTGTTCCCTCAACAGGAATTCCTGATGTTCCTGCTTTGAGTCTTACCTTGCATCTGAAATAGACATTGCTTGAGTTTTGACTTAATACAAAAACCAGGAAGAAGTATTGTCATGACTTTTCTTTTGGCTAGCACACACTCCTTTGATTTGTTTGGAGAAGACTTTCTATTCTTATTCTCAGGCATGGATTGGAAGGTTTCCCCTATCTTCAATGTTTTTCTTTCATTTCCTCCTTGACAGCTGTCAATCTGACCTTGTTTGTGTCTGTCTAGGGTGATTATTGATTAGTTCTTGTCGGCTGCCTTGGTGAATTGCCGTTCTGTTTGTGTGTCCAGGGGGTCAGTCTCGGCTTTCCTGGAGGGGTAGGGCCAGGGCTTCGCCTGCATTTAGTCGAGGTGGGTCCTCTGTGGTGCTGGAAAAAAGGTGCATGTATGTAAGAGGCTCTTAAACAAGTTCTTAAGAGGTGCCAGACCAAGCAGGCTGTAGTAGATATGTTATCTTGAGATTATCTTGAGATGATTTCGGGGCTTTAGTGTCCCCGCGGCCCGGTCCTCGACCAGGCCTCCACCCCCAGGAAGCAGCCTGTGACAGCTGACTAACTCCCAGGTACCTATTTACTGCTAGGTAACAGGGGCATTTAGGGTGAAAGAAACTTTGCCCATTTGTTTCTGCCTCGTGCGGGAATCGAACCCGCGCCACAGAATTACGAGTCCTGCGCGCTATCCACCAGGCTACGAGGCCCTACGAGGCCCTATGTGGGTCTGTGGGCTGCTCCAAGCAACAGCCAGTTGGACCAAGTTATCACAAGTTGAGCCTGGCCTCCAGCCGGGCTCATGGAGTAGAACTCTCGAGAACTCTACTGCGAGGCCCTTGCAGTAGATGCCTTTCGGCTGAACTGGTCAAGATGGGGGTGCACTTCCTCTTTCCCCCAGTCCGGCTGTTAATCTAGGTGTTGGCGTGGCTGGAGTCTTGCAGGGAAAAGTCATTATTTTGGCTCCTTGATGCTCAGGCTGGTTCATTCTTTGAATTTGGCATGGGCCAAATAAAAAAAAAAGAATCGGCACAGCCTGCTGACACACGAGACAGGAAGTGGGAAAAACAGAGACTGCCTCCTGGAGGGGGGAGGAGCATGCAGCTGAAGTGGCAGACACCAAATCCCTGCAAGATGAACCTTGTCGAGCGCCCCCACATCCTCCGAATAGAAAACGGAATAAAGCCCAAAGAGGCTCGGGAAATGCACGATGGAAGCAAAGTGCAACGAGGTATGAAGGTCTTCCGCAACCAAGGCAACTTACAGACGGGAAACTTGAGGATGCAGCTGCACATGACCCTCTAATGAGCTTAGATTTTTAGATTTGTTTTAATGTACCATTTCATAGCTTTCCAGTCCCTATCAACTTGTAGACAAACAAATTTTTTTTCTTCTTTTCTATTTCCATTTGGATGTTTCACTTCATTGAGGTTTCGTTTTAGCTTTTCCCTGTCTTCCTTAGAGAGGTCTTGTCTTAATGACCAAAGTTTCCCATCCTCATCATTCTACAATTTTGTCATTTGATCACTCCATTAAATGTCACCCCTAAGGGGTGATTCTTGTCATTTTCATTTTTGCCTATCCTAAAATCACTGATTTTTTTCCTTTGCTGTGAGGCCTTCTAAACCTTTTATTTTCTCAATGATTTTTTCCTCTTCTGCTGCTCTTTCTATCCTAGATGATATTTTCTTTTCTACACACCCAAAAATTATTATAGACTTCTGCCTGCAGTTTTTGTATTAATTAACTGTTAGTAACCAGTTCTTTCCCAACTGTCTAGTGTCAGCTTCTTGTTGGTCATTTCTAGTTTTGACCACACACTCACACGTCCAAAATCCATGAAAGTGAATCATCTTCAATAAACCCTACTTGCTGTTTAATGAAATTTTCTCTTATCTTGGAAAATGGTCTAGAAAACTATATTTAATGAAAAGTTAGTTTTGGCGTGGAAATGATCCTCAGATTTTAATGTTAAATCAATCTTTCAATTTCAGAGTGAAAGATTTGTTGGAGAGTGTATCAAGTTCAGTTTCACTCCTTGAGGCAGCTGTAGTTGGCAATGTTGAGGACCTGTCGCCACACTTCACTACCCTGGTTCCACTTCTTACCTGGGCACTTCGCTCTACCCTCATATCCACTCAGATGTGCAATATATTTATTAGCCTGCGTTCTGCAGTCTTTGAAACGGAAGATGATGTTTACGGTAAAATTGTCCATAGTTTCATTTGTTTGTTATAGACCTCATACCAAATCTTGTGGTCTGTGTTGAAAGTATTAGTCACATAATAGGTTTTATCTTGGTTTTTAGAACCATGTTTGGCATATTTTCTATAAACAAAATAAATAAAAATAAAAAGCATAAAACAAAAAAGCTTTGAATGTAATGAAACGCCAATTTCTGGGTGAGCCTCGATGGCTCCCTGAAGCAACTATCACTGATAGTGTGTTGACTGCTATTTCACATCAGTCCCGTAGTTCTATATGACCTATCGGGACCAAGAGCCAGAACCTGGTCCTCTCGCCGAGAGACAGGGAGCAATGGCAGTACTCGATCGCAAGGTGATGGAAAAGATAGTGAGAAAAAAGCTTGTATTACATCTGGAGAGAAAAGACTTTGTGAAATGCCACCAGCATGGGTTCAGGGATGGCAAATCATGCCTCACAGGGTTAATGAATTCTGTGACCAAGCATTAAGCAAGAGAAAGAGAAGGGTGCGAAGACTGCATTTTCTTGGAATGACAAAGTTTTTGATACAGTCCCCATAAGAGGCTGTTGCCCAAGTTGGAGAAACAAGCTGGGGTAACTGGTAAGGTGCTCCAATGGATAAGTGAGTACCCAAACAACTGGAAGCAGAGAGTTACCGTGAGGGGAGGGGGGGGGGTGAGACATCAGAATGGCGTGATGTCACCAGCGGAGTCCCACTGGGTTCTGTACTTGAACCGCTCCTGTTTCTTACATACTGTATATAAATGATCTTATATAGGATATAGACTCATTCCTTTTAATGTTTGCTGTTGATGCTAAAATTGAGAGAGGTTAAGGTGGAGGAGGACAGCTAGAGACTACAAGATGACCGGGACAGAATGAAGGGATGGTCCAACCAATGATTACTAGAGTTTAATTGAAGCAAGTGTAAAGTGAAGAAGATAGGTGTAGGAAGCAGGAAGCCAAACACAAGGTATCAGTTGGGAGATGAAATCCTTTCAGAAATCGAGAAGAAAGATCTGGAGGTTGATATCATGCCAGACCTGTCCCCTGATGCAAGGCTGGCTGGCTAGCCAAAGTTCAACCCCTTCAAGCACAACTATGTGAGTACTGGTACACATGCACAGTCTTAAGTTACAAATATGGCAAACATGTGAAATGTCCAATCATGTGTCTAATTCGTTGTCATGTGATGAATATCTTGTACTCAACGTGGACTACGTGATGTATGTTATTCTACAAAGTAGTGCTTCATAAAACAAGCCAGTTCCCTACAATGGTTGCTTAATCAAACTGTAGCAGAAAGTGTCATCATTTGGGTGAAAGAATGTGGGCCGTTCACTCTTCCCAGACCTATCCACGAGTCAACTCCAGATCGCAAACTCTTTATCAAGGATGAACTCCAAGGACGACAGGCTGTCAACGAGGGTCAATAGTTGCTATGAGAGAGAGAGAGGGGCATGTCAATCGCCGCTATCACTAGAGAACTTGGAATTACAAAGCCAACTGTTACTGTGGTGCAGGTGGTGGGCAGCACCTGGGAACTTGAACGACAAGAAACTTTAGTTTGGTGGTCCAAAGACAATGTCTCCAGCAGAAAACTAGCGAATTCTTAAGTCTGTGGTTTTATTTATTGATTATATATGTGTGTGTGTGTGTATAGTAGATATACAGTAATTGATATAGATAGTATTTTATGTGTCACTTCAGGGTGTTACTGGGCCTCATCCAAATTGATTCATTGATTCTTTATTCATCGCCCCTATACCCATCCCGTGGGCAATGGTGGAAAAGGTTACAGAGGCACATACCAAAAAAAAGAAACATTTCATTACATTCAGCACTTGAGTTTTTATAGTAAAAAATTGAATGAATTGCAACATACCAATAGTGATGTAGAGAAACAGAATATTGTGAGGTTTTAATGAAGACATCATTTTGCTATCATAGGGATATCATCATCAATAATGATGTCTGTCTGCTAAAGTGCTATATAGTCCTTCTGTACTCAATTAGCTCTTTATCTTGTTAATTACTGGTATTTAATTACTCGGTGTTTTGTAATTATACATAATGAGTGGATATATTGTTTTTTTTTTATTAACTTCTGAGAATTTGTATAAGGGTTTATTATTATTATTGCAGCGCACACACTGGCCCGAACTACAGTGCGAGTATGTGAACCCGTGATGAAACTACCTGAAGATTGGCTCGGAGAACCACTAGATGATGCCGCTCTGAGGACATTAAAGATGATTCATGTTGCTACTGTTCCCAAGAAGTGGGTATTGTTTGTCAAGTATTTCAGTTGTGATGCTATATAGATTTCTTAAATAATTTGTTAACATTTTCTTTGTCAGATATCTTGATAACTCCTTATTGCGAGAATCAGAAAGGGAAAATGGCCTGGATATTACACCCAGCCTTAAAACCTGAGGTCTGTACTAGTTATAAACTGACTATACTCAGCAGCATGTGAATAATTGCCAAACATACACAGCCACCTCCTTAGCTCAGGGGCAGAGCACTGGTCTTGTAAACCAGGGGTCGAGAGTTCAAATCTCTCAGGGGGTAGAGTTGTTTGGGAGCCGGTCGGCCGAGCAGACAGCACACTGGACTTGTGATCCTGTGGTCCCGGGTTTGATCCCGGGCGCCGGCGAGAAACAATGGGCAGAGTTTCTTTCACCCTATGCCCCTGTTACCTAGCAGTAAAATAGGTACCTGGGTGTTAGTCAGCTGTCACGGGCTGCTTCCTGGGGGTGGAGGCTTTGTCGAGGACCGGGCCGCGGGGACACTAAAGCCCCGAAATCATCTCAAGATAACCTCAAGACGGCATAAATAGATCAGTTGTAGAATATGCAACATTAAAGTATGGAACCCACACTTTGCAAAACACACAAGTAATGTTAGTCCAAAGTTGGGTAACAAGCTAAGTATCAGAGATACAAGAGATGATCTAGGAGAGTGCAATTTAACAAAGGAAAAGAGAAGGGACAGATGTGGTATTGTTATAAATTATAAAATAATCGGGGAAAAGTGGAAGGAAGTTGAACAGGTGGAAGTTGGAAAAGATGCTATTGTGTAGTTAGCAAACTTGAGGCACAAGTAGTAAAATTAAACTCGAGTAGAATTAAACTCAACTCGGCTAGAATTAAACTGAAGAAATCATCTCAAGATAAACACCATTCATAGCTTACTATCTTAATGGAACCACAGTTAACAAAATTAACATAATTGCAAGAGTATTCTTGCCTTTTGCACTGAATTGTTTAGGCATAATTTAGTCATAATTGCATGGGCCCATGCAATTATGCTTGAGGCTTGCTTGACTCAGTCAAGCTTGGCCTCAGGCCAGGCTTGGGGAGTAGAACAACTCCTAGAACCCCCCATCAAGCGGGTAACCTATTGCCATGATATGGGTTAGGTGCCAGATTGTATAGCTATATTATTTAATGTCCAGTAGACAAATTACCACAGATACTCATTTTAAGATTATGATATCTGAATACTAGGTAAGAAGTCATAGTAACAAAAAAAATTTTCTCTGACTTTTGTAGTTGCTGCTCCGAGAAATTACAAATACATTGATTCTTGTTGTACCCAATTTTAGATCGACTCAAGATGACGACGAGGAAAAATACTACTGTGCGCCAGGCTTTGTTTACTGCTTCCCGTTCTTGGAGTGGGTGTTGACAAAGAGGCCGGGAGGTGAAGAGAAGTTTGATACTGTGGCTAACCAGGCACTGCAGGTGATAAGTGAGCATATGGCCATGAGAGGAGCAGATGAAAATGATCTCTACCATCCACGGTTCTTGCCTCGCAAAAGACTTCTTTCTCTTATCATAGATGTTATTAGTAAGTTATTGTTATGCTGTAATGTGCATGTGCGAAGTATGTAAATGTTCTTTATTGTATTTTGTGTGAATTAATAGCAACGTGACCTGTTGCCCATCAAAATTCCCAGCTGCCTGATCATTTCTAAACTCAATTGAGTTTGAAAAATGATTTTTAGCAGCGCACACTTGATATACAAATTTATTAAAATGCCTTATGGAAACTGCTTTCAATTAGTCATGTAGACAATACTAAATTTTCATTGAGGTCTCCCATATTTTATTAATGGTTGAATATCGGTAACAAGTGATTATTAAGTCGATCAATAATTTAATAGGATACGAGGTTCAGTATATTGATATTTGATAGTGGAAAATATAGAACTCCGCAGATATAAACATTATCGATTTTCCAATGTCATTGATTCTTTGTGAGGTACACTGCAATAGTTCATAAGTATGGTTCTTTAAAAAAAAAAAAAATCACTATTTTTTACCAGTGAAAATTGAAAGGCAGCCCGTTTATATATTTTTGAAAATTGGTAAATAATATAATGTAAAAGTGTAGCTTTTTCAATGTATCTGAAACTACACTACTCACAAGCTTTTTGTTTAACTGAGCCTCAAATTTTCTTTAGGCAATAGCTCTGGGCGTACACAACAGAATGCATGTGCTGTGCTTCAGGAAGTTTGTCGCTGTGGGTCTGGTGATATTGGCTGCGATACTGCCACACAAGAAGAAATATCTGTCCTGCTGGACACACTTCAGGCTCCAGCACAGTCTGTTAGGGATGCTGCTTTAAGGGTAAGATTGAATGCACATTTATTCACCCAATTCGACGAACTCTGATTCGCTGAAACAGGGGATGTGCGGATTTACTGAGGATGTTGGGACGGGTTCACAGACTGTGAACCCCTGTCCCAACATGTGGAAAGAACCCTGTCCCTTTTCCCATGTGGAAAGATTTTCCATCATATCATAGGATAAAGTGTTTGTTTCATTCTGTTATATGAATGGACTTTAAAATTTTCCTCGTTGAAATCTCCCTTTCCCCCTTCTCTGCCTCTTTTCCCTCCTTCAGTACCACTCTCCCTTCCTCACTACCTCTCCCTCTCCCTTCTTCCCTCACTGCCTCCCTCTATCCCTCCCTCACTGCCTCTCTCCATCCCTCCCTCCCTCACTGCCTCTCTCCATCCCTCCCTCCCTCTTTCACTACCTTTCTCCACTATCCATGGAATAACCCAAAGTTGGCCTTAGCATGTGGAACGGATGTTAAGAAGTTAGTGTTAGGGAATGGAAAATACTGTATTGGATACAATCATATCAAAACTTGACATAATTAGAAAAATGTTTATATTCTTTGTATATATTAGTCATCAATCTTGTATCAACAGGGATTGTCTGTTCTGGTGAAATCACTTCCCAAGATTGAGACTGACATAGACAGCTGGTTACTTGTGGCCCATAGACTTTGGGTGGCCAAATATGACGTTGCTGAAGATGTTGCCAGTCTAGCATCAGAGCTGTGGACCACAGCCAATATGGAGGTACTGTAGTTAATCAGTATCGACTCGTTCAGTAGTTTGAGCTATTGTCTTATCAATTACAAATAAATTCATACTGTTATAAATTCTCATTGATATCTTTTCCAGTGGATAATGATAAAAAATTTAATTAAATGGCACAGTTTTCTTTATTTTATTTTGTATACTGTATAAGGATGAGTTGTTAATGAGTTTAGTGCACTGTAGAGAAAGGTGTTCATGGATAATAATTTAATAATGGATTTAGTGACATTTGCAGAGAAAACCAAGTTAATATTTGATTAGTGAATTTAAATTTTGTTCATTTGTAATTTAAGCTAAAATAAGTAATTCGTTGTTGAAAATAACGTTAATATTTCAGGCAGATGGAGCTTTGAGTGAAGGTGTATTAGGGGACGTGGTACACCCAGTCGGTGCTGTACGAGCCGCTGGTGCAGCTGCTCTTGCTGCTTTGGCAGAGGATAACCTAGACCTTGTGGCTCCTATCACTCTCCAGCTCATTGAAATTTTTAAGGACAAGACTGAGGTAAAGCATTATTCAGGTTAATGAGTGTCTGACTGTTGTCTAGCTTTGAGATTCAAGTTAGATGTTTGTAGATGTTATGCGTTTCTACCTAGTAGATTTCCAAGTATTTTGTACATCATGATCATGAACCCTATGTCCTTTTTTTTTTTTTCTATTCAGTACAGTGAGCTAAGTATTTTTGCATATTGTGCAGTGTATAGTATCATTACCAAGACAAGGTAATTAAACTATGGGGAAACACTCTTGGATCACTCAGATGTTTGTAAAACTTTAATTTTTTTTATTATACTTTTGTTAGATGAGGACAACTTTATGATAAAGTATTTTTTTAAACTTTGACTTAATAGGGCATATTTTGCAAGATGGAGAGAAGAGAATAACAATGCCTAACATAGTAATTGTTATAACACAAATCTCAAGAAATTTAACTACATATATATAAATATATTTTGTTTGTTGGATTGCATAAAATTGTCATATAATTTAATTTTAATTCATAACATTTTATAAAATTGTGTTTTTAAGAAAATACTAAAGAGGTCCTCGTGAATTTTGTACTATATATGTAGATGACTGCAGCCGTGCGAGACAAGTATGACCGCATTGTGGTAGATGCCATTGACCTGTGGGAAGGTCGTGCTGGGGTGGCAATGGCTTTAAAACAACTAGCACCACTATTACAAGCCGACACTGTTGTCACACTAGCTAACTTCTTTGTGCCCGATGCCCTTGGTGATCGCAATACTGAAGTCCGAAACAAGATGCTTGAAGCTGCCATGGCTGTTGTTAATTCACACGGAAAGGTGAGAGTGAAGAAACTGCATTTCTATATATATACTATATATATTATATATAATATTTGTTTTATTTTATTTAATATTTTATGATACAAAATGGGTTGCAACATTAGTCACATGGTCAGCTGTAATTTGGGGCATTCAAATCAACTATTGGGTAGGGTCATTTGCTGTTTTGTTTCATTTCTCTGTGAACCTTTCAGTCTTCTGTTTTGCTTATACTGTATTACTTTCTGGATGTTTCCTTGGTGAGGGAGATCATAATAATAAGTGGGAGAAAGGTTTGTAAAGTTTCATAACAAATCGTACAAATGTTCTGGAGTCTTTAAATACAGTACTGTACTCTTAAAAATATTTAATAATTAATATTGACTTTATTTGTAGGAAACGGTGAACAGCCTTCTACCAGTTTTTGAAAAGTTCCTTAACACGGCACCAAATCATGCAAGCTACGATGCTGTTAGGCAAAGTGTCATCATTCTCATGGGTTCTTTGGCAAAGCATCTGGAGCATAGTGACCCCAAAATTAAACCCATTGTTGCCAAACTGGTTGAAGCCCTTCATACACCCTCACAACAGGTATCTTGCAGTATTCCTTCTTGTTCCAAGCAGTATATATCTTTTTCATTTGTCATTGTCAAATGATTCAAAGCGTAAACATTTGTGACATCCATTGTCGATAAATTTCTAAATTTGTATTGGTTTAATTCAGTGAACAGTTAAGCATGCAGAATTATTGTTGGCACTTATCAATGTTTTTCTTACAAAAGTTTCATGTATTATTTGAGACAAGTTATATGGTGATTGTCAGTTACTAGATTGTGTGCTCTGTATGCTCACACCTGCATGAACACAACATGCATCTTAAACAAGTCCAAACATATATATTTTTGTAAGAGTTTCTTGATTTTTCTTGTTAGTTTGTCCACTTCCTTTTAAGGAGACTCTTTATAATCAATATATTTCATTAGTTCATTTCTATTACTACTTTTACTTTTAAAAGTCAATTATTTTAAACAAAATTTCATCGAGGCCTGTATATATAAAAAAAATGAAATTTTCACTGCTTTGATGGTTGATAATGTATATTATGTTTATGTAGTCAGGATAATACCATAAGTTTAATTATAAATATATTCTGTTGGTATCAAGAAGATTAATTATACCTCAGAAATGTAATAATTATTAACACAAAATGACACCACCATTACTAGGTTCAAGAAGCAGTGGCCAACTGCCTCCATCCCCTGGTGCCAGCAATTCGTGACGAGTGCCCAAAGCTCGTCTCAAAGCTCATGACTGTGCTGCTAGAGTCTGAGAACTATGGAGAACGCAAGGGTGCAGCTTACGGCTTGGCCTCTTTAGTCAAGGGTATGGGTATCCTGGCTCTGAAGCAACTGGATATTATGAATCAGCTAACAAATGCTATACAGGTAAGAAGCATAATGGATAAAAGTAACAAAAAATCACCAATGCTTTATCAGAAAGATGTGTTTTATTATACATATTTAATGTTTTCTGTTGGAAGTCCCAGAGGCTTCCTGAAGCTATTACCCCTAATTAACACTTTCACCCGTTAATGATGCAATATGGCGTCGAAAATTTAGTAGACGAATGCGCGTTAACAACGCAGTATGGCATCAAAAATGTAGTAGACGAATGCTTGTTAACGACGCAGTGTGGCTTCAAAAATTAAAAAAATTGTCCTGCTTTTGCACTTGGCTGCAGGAGGGGCCCACCGCAGTTTTGGACATTATATGCATGTACTCCTGTAGGGAATTTCCTTGCGAATACATTGATACCAAATTGAAAGATCTAGGTCGAGAATTGAGGTAACAAAGTTAAAAAGAGTATACACACTTTATTGCTCTGGATGAGCGCTCACGTGGGTAATGCGCTGTCACTTTCTCTGTTTGCTGTGGGTGGTATGCCCACAGCAAACAGAGAAAGGGAAAGTGGATGGTACGTGGTACTTTCCATTACATCCACATAGAACTATTATATCCATATTTGCATCATACATGTAAAACCCAGACAATAAATGTTTAAATTGTCATATGATGATATCGGCATTTCCCCATGAATCAACAATTGACGACGACTGCTGCCTAAGGGTTAAAAGAAATTTTGGAATAATTGATAGTGTAACCTGATTTGGTTTTTATCGAAACATTAATTTTGTTGTACAGTACTAATTTTCCACTAAAGTTGATAATTTTTTAGAATAGGATATGTTACAAGATTAGAGAAATATCATATGTTTAACTGATAGTTTCAAAATGTATTACTCTACTACATCGTATTTGGTTTTCACTTGCAGGACAAGAAGAACTACAGATACCGTGAAGGGGCACTGTTTGCCTTGGAACAACTGTGCAACATGCTGGGGAAATTGTTTGAACCGTACATTGTGCATATTCTGCCACACCTGCTTCTGTGTTTTGGTGATACAAACCAGTATGTGCGCGAGGCCACTGATGACACAGCGAAGGCGGTAATGAGCAAGCTCTCTGCTCACGGTGTTAAGCTGGTTCTTCCCTCTCTACTGGCTGCTCTTGAAGAGGATTCATGGAGAACTAAGACAGGTAATTGTTTCTGTATGAAACTCACTATTTATCTTGTACTAAGGTAGAAAATGTTTTGATACTACTAATTATGATATTTGTATCATTTATAATATGTAGCTTCTTGGGTAAACAAACCCCTTAATTCAGATAAACTTAACAGAAATATTAATCATAAAGAAAATGTTTTGTTGCTTTCAGATCTACAGTTTCCATGTGCTATATAGTCATGTGGCTTGGCAATTTGCCCTGATAATTCCCTCCCTTCCCTCAGCATGGTGAGAATGTAAGGCATCTTGCCCCAAAACTCCAAGACTGAACACCTATATAAAATAACTATGATTTATTTTTAATTTGGTTACTAATCATTTAAGTAGGCAACTTTTCACTTCAGGAATCTTGTCAGAGACTGAAACACATTAAATGCAGCATTAAAAATGTTATGAATAATTATGTCTTTTGGGAGTTGAGAGATGATATTTTAATAATCTTTAAGCACTGTATTTTTATGGTCTTTTTATTATGTTTCAGGATCAGTGGAGTTGTTGGGGAATATGGCGTTCTGCGCCCCTAAGCAGCTCTCGTCGTGCCTTCCTTCCATTGTGCCTCGGTTGATTGAAGTTCTAAGTGATTCTCACATGAAAGTGCAGAGAGCAGGTGGTCAAGCACTCAGATTGATTGGCTCTGTTATCAGAAATCCTGAGATTCAAGGTAATTATACTCGTATCATATTGTCTCCAAAAAATATATAAATTATTTAGAGATTTCATGTGCTTTCTCAGCCTCTAGTTGGATATTCCATCATTGTATGTTTCAGTACAATTAAAATCATAAATACAGCCTTCTCCATCCACTCATTTATCTCCTTTATCACAATTACATATTATTCCTCCCAAGTAAAAGCCTATCCGTAACTGCTCACTTTATCCCACATTACTCGGTTATGAGACATCCAGTTACATGTAATTCAGATCTCTCCTGCTCACATTGCTTTCAGTCTGAATTGCTAAGTATACTTGATCTAGTACAAATTTATGAACTTTCCGGGTCATTCATGAACACTATATTCATATTTTCTAAAATTATCTGATCCTACTGTCTCCTGGTTATGCTCTCATGCAGTCAGCACAGCTGTGTAGTATGGAGCTTTTAATACTGTACATTGCCGAGTCATACTGGTGCTGTTCACATTCAGGGAGTGTTTAACATCCAGGCTAGCCGTCTGTTCCGGTTCCTTCCCATTTCGCGGAATGGACTATTTTCACTGCTTCCTGTGGCTTTGCCGGGCATCTGGACATCGATCTCTACGCTTTGGTGTGGTCTCGGCATCTGCCTTCTTGTGTAGGGACATTCCAAGACTCTGAGATCTCAAGGTAGTTGCCTTTTGGCTGGACTGGTAAGGGTGAATTTACTTTTTTTTTTTTTTTTTTTTCCTGGTCTGGGTTTTGCTTTGGGTTCTGGCACTGTTGGAGTCTTACAGGGGAAAGGTGATATTCATGTCTTATTGCTTATATAGCAACATGTCTTGGGTAGACATTCAAGCGCGGGAGTTTTGGAGATCGAACAGGGTCCTGGCCGCCAGGTATCTAGTGAACATTTCGGTTCCTTCCAGGGTGTGTGTGGCTTTGGGGCACCTGTTGCGGCCATCTGCCTCTTCCTCGTCTTTAGACCTGCAATACTGATGTCTCGCGGGTAATTCCCTCCTTTTACTTATCTTTGGTAATCTACAGTTAGCTTCAGTGAGCCGACAGGGCTCCCCACAGAAAACATGCATTGAATGTAATGAAACTCCGTTTTCTGGGTGGGGCCCCGGAGGCTCCTTGACACCCTCCCTTCCTCTGGTCGACCGTTTTCACCGTTAAAGAACTGTAGTGGTGGGCTGCTGGCGAGAAACAACAATGGGCAGAGTTTCTTTCACCCTATGCCCCTGTTACCTAGCAGTAAAATAGGTACCTGGATGTTAGTCAGCTGTCACGGGCTGCTTCCCTGGGGTGGAGGCCTGGTCGAGGACCGGGCCGCGGGGACACTAAAAAAAGCCCCGAAATCATCTCAAGATAACCCCCCTTCCTTCCCCCATAGGTTGGGGGGTTACTAATGAGTGGGAGTGCTAGTTGCAGCTAGTTAACACAGGTTAACCAGACAATGGTCTGTTTTGATTCACCTGCCTTTCTGGGTCCTTTCCCCAGTCAGTGGCAATTATCACTTTCGCACTCTCGGCGCTCAAAAAAAAATACCCTAGATGCTTTCGGCGCTCCGCGCGCCTATGCGGTAAGACCGAAAAAGTGTACACTCTTTTTACTGTCCTGACAATAATTGAAGGCGCACGTATTTAAATTTGGTATCACTGTGTTCGCAATGAAATTGTCTATAAGAGCATACCTATAAAATGCCGCCCAAGCATAAGGACTATCAACACCAAATAAAAAACTATTCAGATCACTCGCCGAGAGCGCCAAACAGCAACAAAATGTTTCCACTCTCTTAATGGTTGCGAAGCCTACAGTTGTCCTACATCGCTAATTGTGGTATCATTGGAATCGCAATAAAATTCTCTACACGGACATATGCATATAAATGTAGATTTAATGTCGTAGCCTACCCAAAACAATGTGGGAAGTGGCCGAAGTGTTACCCGCGGCAGCATATCGGCGAAACTCGCTTTGAAAAGTGTATATTCAATTCACTGTCCTGACATTATTTGTTGATGTATGTATTTCATTTTTGTACCAATGTGCTCGCAATAGAATGTTCTATAAGAACATAAGTATTAAAGGTCACATAAGGATGCGTTCGACCGGCAACATATATAAAAACTACGTCGATTACACTCGTCGTGTCAATAATACAATTGTTTTACCACGATGATTCACTGCCACACCGTTTTCTTTTATAAGCTGTTCGGCTATTAGAGAAAACGTAAATTTCATGGCAAACATTTGTATACTATTCCCAAGTGGATCGGATAATAAATGGATTTTATACAAATATTTTTTCGATGGACTACAGGCGTCGTCTGTTATGCGGTGACGCATAAAATACGGTGACGACTCATGGATAATCCTAAGCGCGAAAGTGTTATGACAAGCTGTAATTTAAATGTAAAGTGCTCGTAGGGCATTGCTCCCTGCACTTCTCTGATGGGACCAGGTTCTGGCTTGTGGTCCCTGGTAGGCATAAGAACTTCAAGGTTCACCCAGAAATTGGCATTTCATTACATTCAACACTTTTTTTTTTTTTTATATATATATATAAGGGATTTATTATAACCATCCACTAGTCAGTAATGTACAGTATCAAACTTCTCATATATTGAAGTTTGACAAGACAATCATTAATAATTTGTTGCATCTTTCTCTGATTTCAGCAATTGTACCAGTATTGTTAGCAGCTCTTCAGGACCCAACCAAAAACACATCAATGTGCTTGCAAACATTATTGGAGACCAAATTTGTGCATTTTATTGATGCCCCATCCCTGGCCCTTATTATGCCTGTAGTACAAAGAGCATTCCAGGATCGTTCAACAGAGGTAAGCTAAGCGATGAGTCACAATAACGTGGCTGAAGTATGTTGACCAGACCACACACTAGAAGTTGAAGGGACGACGACGTTTCAGTCCGTCCTGGACCATTCTCGCAATCGACTTGAGAATGGTCCAGGATGGACCGAAACGTCGTCGTCCCTTCAACTGTTAGTGTGTGGTCTGGTCAACAGAGGTAAGCTAGCAAAATTGTGTATATATATATTTGTTAAATACTGTTAAATATTGCAGGAAAATTGTGCCTGTAGTAAATACTTACAGTTCGGAGATATAACATAGGTTGTATGTCTTGTAGGTACGAAAAATGGCAGCACAGATCATTGGCAACATGTACTCGTTGACGGATCAGAAAGATCTCCAACCCTACCTGCCAGGTATCATCCCGGGTCTTAAGGCTTCTCTACTGGATCCTGTACCAAAGGTATGTGCAAACATATATGCGGTTTGAACATTTATATTTATAATGCTGCTAATGTTGTCTTGAACCATGTTGCAGTCTCTGATCTCTAGACTGGTTTTTCAAGATTTTATAGCATGCACTGAATTAATGTTCAGTACAGGTACATGTATTTTTAGATACTTTCCAGCCACACTGTATAAATGTAAGTGAAGGGAGCTTGGAGAAGAGGTTATGTAGTCGTGTACCCACAGTATCGGGTATTGAATACTGTACCAATATTTGCTACAAGTCCTGTTCTTTAAATGTTAATATTTGGAGATTCAAGACAAACATTTTATCATTTCAGTACCTTTTGGAAATGTTATAACATTTATAAAATAGAACTTCTTAAGATAGGTAGGAGGTACATTGATGAAAAATACAGAATAAAATAGAATACAGTTAGATACCACTTAGTCAGAATGCTCAAGATCATAGGCTTTGCATTAATATTTTCAGATTCAAAGTGCATCTTTGTGGCTGGATACGCCCTACAACAGTTACATTGTTCATTACACTAGTGGCGTGGAATATATTTATTTACTACGACGTGTGGTGTAGTTCAACTAATAGTGCTTTATAGTGAACATAAAGTGCTGCATAGTAAAGTGGCACCTTGCTCAAGCAAACTAATTGGGACTTGTGTCCCATCTTCCTTATAATCTCTTGTTATATAACCTTTTGAAGCTTCAGCAGGATGTTTACACAAAATGGAAATTTGTTTTAATTGTCCGTGAAGTACCTGATGTATACAAATTTATTTAAATTTTAATTATTTAAGGTGTTCTCATCCAGGTGCACAAATTATTTTATGAAACTTTACATATTTATATTTGATCATTTTCAGGTTCGCTCTGTATCATCGAGAGCTTTGGGGGCCATGGTAAAGGGCATGGGAGAGTCCAGCTTCGATGATCTGCTGCCATGGCTCATGCAGACACTAACCTCAGAGTCGTCTAGTGTTGATCGCTCTGGTGCGGCTCAGGGTCTTGCCGAGGTCAGTTTGGTTTGTCATCCCATTATTGGATGATATTACTTAAGATATTTGCAATTAATTTTGTTGTCGGCATTATCTAGAGAATGCCTTTATGTATTGGTTCTAAACTTTAAAAGGATCAAACACTGTTACCATAATACAACTAGGCAGTGATGTGGTGGAGGCAAACTCCATTCACAGTTTCAAATGTAGATATGATAGCACCCAATTGTCTCAGGAATCAGTATATCAGTTGATTGACTGTTGAACATTGGGGCCAAAGAGCCGAAGCTCAACCCCTGCAAGCATAATTAGATAATTGAGTACAACCACCACTATGACCTACAACTACAACTGCTATTAATAAGTCACTACAAACTTAAACACAACAGCAGCCACCACCAAAGACCATATTTAAGCCGCCTACCATAACCACCACTGCAGTGATGGCCACTATCGCAGTACTGTACTGCCAACACCATTAATACATAGAACATACATCATGATAAAGCACCTAAATTATTGGGATAATCTAAAAGTTCTTGAAATATACTCTGGAAATGAAATGAGTGGTATCAAATTATATATACATGGAAGGTACTGCACCCTCAACACCAGCACAGAGCAAATGATGCAGCAGGAAACGGACTGCTTCTCACAAGTCTGCGACAACTTCGGTCTCGTCACCACCACCGAGGACTGAAGGTATCAACCCGCACCCGGAATACCCTACCAGGAACCGTACATCGCTGTCAAGGGAGGGGGAGAACCTGCGGGCAGTTGACAACTTCACCTATCTTTGGCACAATAGTCTCAAGAGCGGTGAACGTAGATGCAGATGTCAACAACAGGATCACCAAGGCCGGCACTGCCTTTGGAAGATTCCACAAGTGTGATTGGGAGTGAAGGAGCCTCAGCTTTACCACCAAACTGAAGGTCTACTGTACAATGGTACTCGCCACCCTTCTCTACACCAGTGAGAGTTGGACTGTCTACAGCAGACACACCAGACAGCTAAAACACTTTCACTTGAACTGTCTCTGTAGACTCCTCCACATCAAGTGGCAGGACAAAATCCTGGACATGGAGGTCCTGGAAGGGGCCGTTATTCCCAGCATCTACATCCTCCTACAGAAAACTCGGGCCAGATGGGCAGGACACTTTGTCAGAATGCCTGATGGCTGACTGCCTAAACAGCTGCTATATGGAGAATTATGCCAGGGCACGCGTTCTGTTAGGGGATAGAAGAAACGATTCAAGGACTGCCTCAAGGTGACTCTCGAAGACCTTGACATCAACCCCAATACTTGGGAGTTGCGCAGGACCATCCAACTTGAAAAAGCAGTCACCACAGGGGCTCGTGTGGCAGAGAATAGATGGACTGCAGAAGCCCAGAGGAAATGAAATGCGTGCAAAGCTAGAGCAACCTCCACCTCTACAGTAGCACTCGCCCATATATGTTGTGTGTGTAAATTAACAACATACTGAAGTGAACGACATGAAAGGAAATGCAGAATAGAGCCAGTGAAGAGTGTTTGTTCTCTGGCACAATCAGAGAACACTGTATGAACATCAGAGGTCCATGGTTGTTCAGTATCCTCCCAGAAAGTATAAGAAGTATTGACAGAACATCAGAGGTCCGCGGTTGTTCAACGTCCTCCCAGCAAGCATAAGAAATATTGCCGGAACAACCGTGGACATTTTCAAGAGGAAACTAGATTTATTCCTCCAAGGAGTGCCGGACCAGCCGGGCTGTGGTGGGTATGTGGGCCTGCGGGCCGCTCCAAGCAACAGCCTGGTGGACCAGACTCTCACAAGTCGAGCCTGGCCTCGGGCCGGGCTTGGGGAGTAGAAGAACTCCCAGAACCCCATCAATCAGGTATCAACCAGAACAAAAGTAGAAGTCTTGCAGAAAACTGTATAGTTTTTCTTGCAGAAGTGCCAGCCCAACTGGGCTGTAGTGGATATGTGGGCCTGCAGGCTGCTCCAAGCAACAGCCTGTTGGACCAAGCTCTCACAAGTTAAGCCTGTGGAGTAAAAACTCTCAGAATCTCATCCAGGTACCAAAGATATTTCTAAGACACCCTCTACCTCAACCCATAACTACTTCTATGATGACCACAATACATCAATGCAGCTAACACCAAAACTGCACCTGGTAAAGTACCAGAAGGAAATTTATGGGGGTTCATATATATTCTAACACACATCTTCAAGAGAAAACTGGACGGTTGTCCAAGAGACGTTCCGGATCAGCCGGGCTGTGGTGGGTATGTGGGCCTGCGGGCCACTCCAAGCAACAGCCTGGTGGACCAAACTCTCACAAGTCAAGCCTGGCCTGAGGCCGGGCTTGGGAAGTAGAAGAACTCCCAGAACCCCATCAACCAGGTACATCATAAACTGTGTGGAGGAGGCAGTGTACTAGTGGTAGTGATGAGGCAGTAGTGTACTAGTGGTGGTAGTGTAGAGGAGGCAGTGTACTAGTGGTAGTGATGAGGCAGTAGTGTACTAGTGGTGGTAGTGTAGAGGAGGCAGTGTACTAGTGCTCACATAGTTGTTAATTTAGGCATAAAGATTTGTTATATTCTCTAGTGCTAAGATGACCATTTCTTTGCAGGTTGTAGGTGGTCTCGGTCCCGAGAAGCTTCACCGTCTCATGCCAGATATCATCGCTACAGCAGAGCGCTCAGACATCGCACCCCATGTGAAGGATGGCTACATCATGATGTTCATCTTCCTTCCCACAGTATTTCAAGATGAATTCACACCTTATATTGGACAAATTATACCTCCCATACTTAAGGTCAGTCAATATTTCCAATAATTCTGCTGTTTAATGTAATAGAGGATTAAATATGTACCGTATTTTTATTTCTATTTTCCTTTTAAGTTAGGAAAGGTTAGCTCTTGGGTCCATCACCTTTATTTTGGGCTTTGGTTCAATTACTACAGTACTCGAGCAAATTTATTGGTGAAAATTTTGACACCAAATTTATAGTTATAACCCAAAATCTTAATAGTTGGGTATGCTCTGATGGGTTGAAATATGGGGTAATAGATACATTCATAACTCTAACCAAGACATCAAATTGTTAGGTAAATCATAAGTTACTTTAATGTGTATGTTAAGCATTGTGTTTCATGATGTAAAACAAAGGAGAGGCAAATATTCAATTAGTTTTATACTATACTTTGTATTTACTAGAAGACTCGAGGGTGCTTTCATTTTGAAATATAGTACCTTGGTGTAATTGGTAAAAGTTGCCATGTATAACGTGCAGCAACATTTCCCATCCCCGATCACATGCATATTATAATAATTGATAACCAATTGTTTCTTTATATTTTGTAAAAAAAAAAAAAATGTTGAATCAAATTTAATCACTTTCACACAGTATTGTAAAACTGCAAATTTTGTTTAATTGTGCAATGTAACCACCTTTTATGAATCAATTACAATGACATTCCTTTACTTTTCTAAATAGCTACTGTACTATTGCCATATTCCACTTAAATGATGACATTACTAGTGATAAATGAAGTGCTTTGATAAAATCTTGGTACAAAGTGGAAAGCATCCTGATTACTCAAGTCATGACATACTCACATTTTTAATGATTACCAGTACAATATTCACTGTCAGTTTTGAAGAGGTTCATATATGACAAAGCTCGTCTATGTACATAATTTGTTTTCAGGCTCTTGCTGATGAAAATGAATTTGTGAGAGAGACTGCACTGAAAGCTGGCCAGAGAATAGTGAATACATATGCGGAGTCAGCCATTACTTTACTCTTACCAGAATTGGAAGCTGGTCTGTTCCATGATAACTGGAGAATTAGATACAGGTAAGAAAATGATATAATTGGAGAAGTATCTCGTAACATTGTGTTCAAGTTGGTGTGACATCATCATAACACAGTATGTACTTTTTATCTGTATCCTGTTGTGGTGAAATATTGGACAATATAAACACACACTTCTGTGAAATTTATGGTATTGCAATCCTAATTTGCATTGATGCTTTTGCAGTTCTGTACAGCTACTAGGGGATCTGCTGTTTAAGGTGTCGGGTGTGTCTGGTAAGATGACTACTGATACCGCTCATGAGGATGACAACTTTGGCACAGAACATTCCCAAAGGGTAAGCACCATTTACTATTCCTCATCACATCACAATTATGTACAGGATGCTTTATAAAAATCTGTATTTTGTATGCGGTTATTTAAAAAAATTTAATTATTACTAGATCTCATGGTAGAATTCGGTTTCCTCGAGTTAATAGACCTATGGCCTCGCATCGCACGTGTGGGGTCCACGGTTAGAAACCCATACAGTCCAGGTGAATGGATTGTTTATTTCCACGGAAGTGTGGATGACAATTTACATTTATAATTTAAATTGAACGTGAAAAATGTCAGATGAAGTATTTTGATAGGCAAGGTTTGTTCAAGTAAGATCTCACTATTTTTCCAATTATTACTTAATGGATATGTTGAGAAGCTTGCTCAGCTCTAGTGTTGTATTTAGCGGTGTCTTGGTGCCAAGTTGAGGTTTACTCTCCAATGCCTTCTTGCCAGTAAAGTACAGAGCAAGACCATTTGCAAAGTTCCTAGTCATGATTGGGCTCAAAATTGGAAAGGTCTCAGCATGTGAGGACTGTCTGGATAGACTGTGCATCTGAGGTGTCTGTCAGAAAGCAGCATTACAATCCTCTCAACATTTTTGTTGAGAGTGAGCTAGTTCACCTGTCTCTAAATTGCAATTACTTATTTGTCTGTGGTGTACTCGGTATCTTTGCAATCATCGTTTCTACATCTAGGTTTTCAGGCGTTTCTTTTTCTCCTCTGCTACCACCATGCCTTGTTCTCAGCTCCTCTGTTTGATATTTCTACCAGCACCTTTCTGTAAACTATTAAATATTTCTGGTTAAGCTCATCACAAACCTTGTCATTTTGTGAGAGATTATTCCCGTCTTAGCGAGTATGGTAATCTGGCTTTATACCCTGGAAACACAAACCGAAACTTTCTTTATTTTCCGCTTGTTACAACTTGTAATAAAGCTGTTATATCTTGGCTTAACGTGTTTATAATGAATTAGAACGTTGGTACAACTTGCTATATTGGTTGTTATAACTGGTTAGGTGTTAAAACTTGTTCGAACGTTGTACTAACATTGTAGTTTCGGTGTGTGTGTTTGGCAGGCACTGTTAGCTGCCTTCTGATACCTCTTGATAGTTGTTCAGCAGTATGTGAACACTGTTTAAAGCAAGAGCATACTGTACTTAGAAATCATACTCGAATACTCTTTCCATTATGTTCTCTCATTCCTGTATGTGTAGAATAAAAAATGTAAATTTCCATACAGTTCAGGAAATTAATTTTATTATGATGACCAGACCACACACTAGAATGTGAAGGGACGACGACGTTCCGGTCCGTCCTGGACCATTCTCAAGTCGATTGTGATGAGGAAGTAGAGACAGGCAATAAATAGGCACAAGAGATGAGGAGCAAAGTAAGGTGTAGTAGAGGGGCTAGTAGTAGGAACTGCAGATTACAATGTAATTTTATTACATTGTAACTATGAAACAAACTATTTTAAATGTGAAATGAATGTGTTTCCTAATACAGGTTTGGAATTAATAATAATACAAAAATTCTTGATAATCCTCAGGCTATTATTGACATCCTGGGTGAAGAACGGCGTAACCGTGTGTTGGCCGGACTTTATATGGGACGTTCAGATGTTGCAGTGTTGGTGAGACAAGCTGCACTACATGTATGGAAGGTTGTGGTCACCAACACTCCCAAGACATTGAGAGAGATCCTGCCAACACTCTTCTCTCTCCTTCTGGGCCACTTGGCATCTACCAGTTATGACAAGAGACAGGTACAGTGAATGTCCACACAATATTGTAAGTTAAATTTTTAATAATCTCATTTTTATTTCATTACTAATGCTAGCCAGCATTTAACCAAGACACTCCATCCTCTAGGTAATTAAACATCAGAAAGTTCTCATATTCTGTATTGAGGCTATGTGTTAGTTACTTATAAATAATATTGATTAGTTTTTATAAACGATGGCTGCTAATGGCAGTTTTAGTGTATATATTTTTTTCATTATAACTCGTCCAAAAATTAATGATTTGTATTTTGACAGTTCTTACAAAATGCAAGTCAAAATATTAAAAGGATTATTTAATGCATAAATAAAGTATTTAATGTGTAACAATCAAAATTTTATTCTGAAAAGTCAGTCTTCAGTATTTACTTTATCTATTCCCTTCAGCATCTTGGAAGTTAAAATCATATCCCCTCTGTTCCTTCTGTTGTGTAGGGTTGAGAGATTTAGTTTTACTACCCTATCTTTGTAGCCTAGACCTTACTTAAGTCTGGGTGTAGAACACAACTATAACTTGTTTTCAAATTGTTCTCAAGGGATCACAATTGTTATGATTTTGAGCATGTTGCCTATGTTGGTTATAACAAGTTATTAGCTAGTTGAAAACTTGTGTAGCATTTTTCCACCTGTTCCAAGCAAAAAATACAAATTTGGCAAATCATTAAATAATTTGGTAGTTATCCAGACCCACTTCTTTGCTCTCTAGTAACTGGCAGGTTATTAATTTTATAACCTCTAAATCTGTAATTATGTGAGAGGCAAATGTATGTAGAGTTCAAGTCCCATGGAGTTCTCTCAATCAAACAATTATTTGGTGCTCTTTGACTTAACTATTATTATGAATCATCCCATTCATTTCTTAATCATGCTTTACTTATAACACATGTTTATGTGGGGATGCAGATTGCAAATAGCAGTTGTTTGGCCAATTAGTCAGTCGCCTGGATAAGTCTGGCATTATTCTAGGCTGCAAGAGCACAGTAGCTTGTAAAACTGGCCACATACATACCATAGTTTATTCATTCTTTTATGTATTTTAACCATTGTTGTACACTTTATCTTTAAGGTGGCAGCACGTACGCTTGGAGACCTGGTCCGTAAGCTGGGCGAACGCGTATTACCCGAAATTATTCCGATCTTAGAAGCTGGTTTAGGATCACCCGAGGCTGACCAACGCCAGGGTGTATGTATTGGTCTTTCAGAGATTATGGCATCTACTAGCAAGGATATGGTTCTTTGCTTTGCTGACAACCTTGTTCCTACTGTAAGGTAAGTTGTAGAATAATATTTTGTTTTCATTGTGATGAATGGTGATATAAATGATGTGAATGCCGTAGTGGGGGATAATGTTATAGAATAGTTGGAAAATTAAGTGGAGAGGTATGCAGTGAAAATTTAGGAATCTTTCCTCGGTATTTGTATGGAATTCATATTTCAACAATACTATCCTTAGACAACAACAAATCTTTTCTTAAATTTGATGTAATGATAAACTGGGAACTTATACTGATAGCTGAATTCTGAAATGCATAGTGGATATAAATGTCACTTATTATATTTGTGGATGGTGCCCCCTTTAGTTTTTGTATAATAGACAGTAGGATAAGATATAAGAATATTATAATACATTTTCATTACACAAGATTATTGCTGAATGTTAGGTGTAGAAATAATTTAAATACTAAGTACAGATTTTGCTCACTAGTTTGAATCATATGGGGTTGACCAACCACCATCAGTTACCCAAATTTTGTATGATGTGTACAAATTATGATTGTCCGGGAGAGTTGCTTGTGGCTTCCTGAAGCTTGCTTGTATCAAATACCATCACCAGGGAAGCCCCAGAGCCACACAGCTCCATACATCCCTCAACCCTCCTAGTCCTTGGGGGGGGGGGGGGCACTATAGTGTTCATTACCTTTCCCACAAACATACGAGACAAACAACAGTAAACAATGCGACTGTAAACAAACAAACTTGCATTCATCAATAAATACTTAAATCCAAGACAACAGAGTCGTGTGTTATACATGTAAGAGTAGATTCCACTTGTCTTGCACAGAGGTGAGTAGTACCAGGATCCTGAGAGATGAACATTTACTCTGGGTGTGCAACAGTGATTTGCCAGCATTGATTATATTCAAATAACTCCTAGATACCATGACTTATGACTGGATACCATGACTTATTTCATTCATTTGAAAGCCTACCAGCCATCCAGGAAGAGTGGGAATACTAGTGGAGCAGAGGCTGTAGAAAACGCGCCGCTCTAGGGGTATCTTGTTTCAATTTTTTCGATGCACTCTGCTTCTCTACCTCTCGTACAGTGTACAAGTACAGTAATTGCTTCAATTTCAGGGTTATTTATGTTTCTATTTTCCACTTACGTTGTCTTGTCCCAATTCTCTGTTGAAAGTGGCTGTGCACCTTGTGTATTTTTCCCCCTCAATATTTTATATGTAATGAGAATATTCATACTGAACTTTCTCTTGTGTTATTAGCTTTAATTCCTTTAATCTGCCTTCTTATGACCTAGACCTTATTTCAGGCATTGTTGCAAATCCATCTACTTCAGTTTATTTGTTCTTGAAGTACAGATACCACTTGAATTGAACACTTGGTAGAGCACAATGAATTGGCTAGTGGATTAGATCTTAATACACTGATTGATCATAAATTTTCTCCTCACTACCTTGGTTCTCCGGGTAATTTGACCAACATCACGACAGTTATAATGTCCTTTTATAACTGTCATGATTTTGGACTTTAGATTACCGAGCTTAATGAGCAAGTTATTTATCAAGGCTTTACAACTACTTTGTATGCAAAATACTGAAACAACGTATCAATAAATAAATGTATTAGTAATGCATTAGTGAGTACATAAAAGTGCATGTTAGAAATTTTGAGTAATGTCATGTTTATGTAAAGGGGGTGTGAACGTATATGGAGAAACATTTATGTATGATTACACACTATTACACACAGAGATCACACTAACTCTAGACGCAGGTTCGAATCCTCGTCACGGACCTTGTGGATTTTGTTCATTTATGTGTGTGTGTGTGTGTGTAAAATTTTATATATGTACTGCAAGTGCCCGCGTTTTTGTACAAATGTGTGCAAGTGTGTAAAGGTGTAAGTTTTGAAGTTTGTGTGTAAAAGGCTTGAAGTAAAGATTTTTATAAAGATTTATATTTTTCCCCATACAGACGGGCTCTCTGTGATCCTCTGTCATCTGTTCGCCAAGCTGCTGCTCAGACTTTTGATTCCTTACATGGCACTGTTGGATTTCGAGCCCTGGAGGATATCTTGCCACCCCTTTTGGCTGAGCTAGAAAATGAAGATGAAACACGAGAATTTGCTTTGGATGGACTGAAGCAAGTCATGGCCATCAAAAGTAGAGTTGTCTTACCCTACCTTGTTCCTCAGGTACCATAGCTTACATCTTTATAATATACAGCATTGCACTAGGTTATTTCTTTTTTATTATTATGCACAAATATATTTCTCTTGCAATTTGCTTGAAATGTCATTTTTTATCATAATTTTTTAACATTATTATTTTTGGAGGTTTTCTCTCCAAGCTTTTTCATCACATTTATAACATCAATATTCATTCTCTCTACCTTTCTATCCAGTTTATTAGATTTCATACAAGACATGGTTCATTCATAGAGATTGGAAAAAAATGAAGTCTTGAAAGAACAGTACAAATCTATGGTGCTTGCTTGTGAGTACCAAGTGAGCAGATTCGAATCCTCCTCATGGCTTCACTGATTTTCTCATAATGCACAGTAGTCTGAAGGATATTACAATTCCTTACAAACTGATCACAAAGAGTAACAGTAATAAACAATGCACACAAAATCATCCAAACATAGTTACGTACTTGGTACTGCAGTGCACTGTTCACGCCTTCATGCTGTTTTTCATCTTCACATCAGACACAGCCAAGAGCAAACCACAGCTTTGTGTCCCCTTTTGCAGGCAAGTCAAGCCTGACCTCAGGCCGGGCTCTGGGAGTAGAAGAACTCCAGAAACACACTCCAGGTGACTGCAAAATCGGCATTAAAAATTGTTTTGGCAATGAACGCTGTGTAACTGTAAACGGATGCCAACAAAGCCATAGTTGGAAGCTAATAACACAATATCAAAAGTAACATTCTAGCTACAGAACTTTGCTTAAATACAGAGAAAATTAAGAACGTAAAATGCATGCAGGATACAAAACAATCGGCTCTTATAAAATGGAAAGAGCATGTAAAGACTCTCGTAATAATTATGTTTAATGACGTGGTGCTCGATGAACATTACAAAACAAACTTGCAACATCTAGGAAAGTGAGAAGGTGACCGAGACCCTTCAATATTAGGAGTGCCGTTTAAACTTTAAAAGTCCCACTGCTAAAACTACCATGCAAGAGATTGTGGTAGGTTTAGGTTTTAAAGTGCCATAATGCTTTCACCAGGGGTTGCACAAATATGCACTTACTGTATCTGTGACAAACAAAAATAGCTGACAAGCATGAAAATCAATTTGATCTGCTTTGTGTATTAGAAAAATGTGTTTGTTAGTAACTTACAGAAGTATTCAAGTGGCATTTTTGTTTGATTAAGCCAACATTTGTTAAGCACTTCATGGCAAAACAGGCTATAGTATATATAGGTAGTTATTATTGTGCCTAATAATTTATATAAAATGTGTGGTACTTGACAGTTGACCACGCCACCAGTAAACACCCAAGCCCTGTGCATCCTTGCATCAGTGGCTGGTGACACCCTAACGCGACACCTCAGCAAAATTCTAGTTGCCTTGCTGGGAGCCTTGAGTGATACAGCCGGCACTCCAGAACACGATGAAGCTCTCAGCCATTGCCAGGGTGTTGTTCTTGCTGTTACCGACGAGGCCGGAGTAACAACAATCGTTGATGAACTCCTTCAGCATTCCAAGTAGGTTTTCTTCTTAGCAATTCTGTAAAGTATACACTTTAGATAAAGCCTGTTTTTTTTTTTGTTTTTTTAAAGAACAAATGAAAGCATGTCAGGTACTTGTTGTGTGGTGTGAAAAATCCTTTAATTTTCATTGAAATATTTCACACTATATTACTTACTATGTTTGATCCTGTTACTGTATTTTTTCTTAATAGATGTTGCCAGATTTAAGGAATGTTCTATTTGCTTTTCAATGGTTTGTATGTAAACATTCTTCATGTAGATATTACGGTTTCCCATGACTATGCAATGTTTTATGTTTAAAAGTATGGTTTCTGTTTACATTTTAGGGGCAGTAATCTAGGAGTAGCTCAAGCAGCTGTAGCTTTGTTGTTAGCCTTTTGCTCTAACACCCGGGCTGACTACAGTGACTATGTACCCCAGTTGTTACGGGGCCTGATCCACCTTTTCACTCACAAGGATGAAGAAATACTCAAGACCTCGTGGCTTGCATTAAATGCTGTTACTAAGGTATGTTAAAAATATAGTACATGTACTCAATTTTAGGGTTTTATATATATATTTTTCTGGGGTCTCCCACTCAGTCACTCCTTAAGCCATTTAGGCAAGCTCCTACTCTGTTTAGGAGAAGATCTACTGCAGTAAGGGCTGCTTGGTATTCTGCAGCAAGGAATTTGTCTAACTTGTTATTGTTGATGTCATACTGGTGCTAGGAAGACACTGATAAATACCTTGCTTGCACAAATGTAAGACATATATTTCAGGGCATTGTCATCTCTCGGCAAGAACATTACATGATGTTTGTACTTTTAAAGCTTACTGGAGAGGAAGGAGTACTAAGCTGTATTCTTCCCCCTCTCCTCCCCTCTCTCTGTCTTCCCCTCTCATATCTTTCTCCTCCAACATCCCTCCTTTCTCCCTCTTCTCTACTCTTCCTTGCTCTCCCAATATCTTTCCTCTCCCATCGCTTCACCTTTCACCTCCCTCACTCTCTCCACCTTTCTCACTTTCCTTTGCTAAATTGCAATTACAAGTTATGGAAATACAGTACCAGTTTTGAATATTTTGAATTGTGCTTAAATTTAGCTTTGAATGTTTTACAGAGCTTAGATGCTGCAGATCAACGATCACTAGTGGCTGATGTTCGCCAAGCAGTAAAGTTTGCTGCGTCTGACTTAAAAGGAGATGATTTGATGCCTGGCTTCTGTCTTCCAAAAGGTAATAAATTACGCTTTCTCTATTTGTTAATTACTCTTAGCTTATGTCATAGTGGTTATTGTATTAACCTAATAATCCCAAGACTTCTAATTCAGTTCCAGCAGAGGCAGTGTCATTTCAAATTTGGTTGATGGTAGCTTCAGGAGTTTAGCTAAAGTTCAGCTTCTACTGGCTTGTCCTCCTAAAGTCAACTCATATGAGGGAATTATACTTTTCTATTGTAGTGTGTTGTGATGAACCCATGCCCTTAAATAGGCTGACTCGAAAAGCAGATCCAGCACTTGCACTGAGGTCATAGTGAGCAACGTGCTTTCCTAGTAATTAAAAGAATTTATAATCTCTCTTTATATTATAAATGAAGGTGGTGGTGATTAATAACACTATTATATAGTATGACTTTTTTTTTAACACTGTTTGAATTTGATTAATTCTGCTGTACAGTATTATAGTTTGAATTTAATTTACAGGTATCCAGCCCATTTTACCCATTTTCCGTGAAGCTGTATTGAATGGCGAACCCGAGTTAAAGGAGGCTGCTTCCAATGGCCTTACTGAAGTTATCCGTCTCACCAGTTCTGAAGCTCTTAAACCTTCCGTTGTACATGTCACGGGACCACTTATTCGTATCTTGGGTGATAGATTTGCTTGGAATGTCAAAGTGGCTGTTCTCGATACTTTGGCACTCCTGTTAGCCAAGGTGAGTGAGTGGAGTTAATATCTTGTAGATTTAAAAAATATAATGGGAGAGAAAGATTTATAAATCATGTTCCCCCTTAATGCTGCCTGAGACAGCAAAAGGTACAAAACATTATCACACATTAGGCTAGACATGCAGAAAGTTCGTGTTATTTCCCCTTGAGTTTCCCCATCTTTTGTAACATTACAATTGTTTTTAGTGAAGAATTTTTCTCCTTTCTTCCCATCTCTATTAGACTGGTGTTATGCTGAAACCATTCCTGCCACAACTGCAGACAACCTTTGTGAAAGCCGTGCACGACCCTCACCGAGGCGTAAGGTTGAGAGCCGGCGCAGCTTTGGCTCATCTCATCACAATTCACACTAAACCAGATCCACTTTTTACTGAACTTCATAATGCTGTGAAGGTTGCAGATGATACATCCATCAGGTAATTTCTTAGTATAAATTGTGTCTACTATCTGTTGTTTAATGTACAGTATGTTATCTCGATTCTCTGGACATGTACAGTACTCATAAGTATGCATCCCCTCTGTTCGAGGTGGTCCGTACTTATGATCCAACCACTTGGGCTGGACGGTAGAGCGACGGTCTCGCTTCATGCAGGTCGGCGTTCAATCCCCGACCGTCCAAGTGGTTGGGCACCTTCCCTTCCCCGCCCAAAATCCCAAATCCTTATTCTGATCCCCTTCCAAGTGCTATATAGTCATAATGGCTTGGCGCTTTCTCCTGATAATTCCATTCCATTCCGTACTTATGATAAACAAAAATTATAGTCTTACGGGTGTAAGATTGTGGAGAGAAGTATGTGCCAGGTACATGACATTATGGTGTGTGCTACCTCCCTGGAGCCACACAACTTTGTGATCATGAGGATGAAGCTCGTAGAACATCTACTGAGAAGCTTTGTAACACCACCAGTATGGGTTCATGGATGGTAAATTGTGCCTCACAGGTTTATCAGAATTGAGGGGACCAGGTTCTGGCTTGTGGTCCCCGGTAGGCTCAGAACTCCAGTGATCCCAAACTAATAAAGCACACATCAGTTCATCAGCTTCAGGAAGCCTCCGGGGCTACCCCCCTCCCCAGAAAAGGTCATTTCATTACATTCAACACTGGCCCTTTTTTATCTGTTGTTAAGGAGTTTTAAGATAGCTTTTTGCTAAACTTCATTGTAGGCATACTACATGTAAAAGATACTGATACTTAGTTTTCTATATTAAATCTCTCTCTTCCCTAGGGACACAATGATCCAAGCCTTGAGATGTGTAGTAGAACCAGCTGGAAATAAGATGAGTGACAGTGTTCGACGCGGTTTGGTTACGACACTTGTGGGTCTTCTCACACACGATGATGATTCTACCCGCCTCTGTGCCGCCGGAGCCTTGGGAGTGCTATTGCCATGGTTACCTGCAGATGAGTTGCGCTCAGTTCTCACTCAACATGTTTTAGGTGAGAAAGAGCTTTTTAAACTATCATATTTGACTGCTTTCTGTGAGAAGATGTGCTAGGGGTGAAGAAAAATATGCACAGTAAGGGAAAATGACATTCTAACATTATTCATTCTAAATGACATTCTTTCAAGTGGTCCTGCAGGGTCTTTATAGGTGGTTGGGAATCTGTGGAATACTCATTTCAGTCAAGGAACTATCAGTTCTATTGGGAACTATCAGTTTGTTGCCTGGCCAGCTGCTTCAACCACCACTAGGCCCCAACACTGCTCTTCATTTAGTTCCAGGAACCCTAGGCCTCTTGGGTTCATGGAACTTTCTGGATGCTTTCCTGGTGAAATGGTGGAATATTATTTGCACCCTGTACGAGCTACTTTCTTTAGGCCAAAAGATCTGCAGCTTTTTTCATTCTTGTGCTTTTTCAAACACGCTTGTTCGAGGGATCACATTAAGAGAATTATTATTGCAGCCTCTCGGCCCATTCATTCCTCACGAATATTTTGTAGTATTTTGTTCACTTTTCGATTGTATTCCTGCATCATTTTATCTCGGAAGCATCCTGAACTTTATTTAAAATATGAACAGTAATTTATTATACATGGAGAACAGGTATTTTATTTAAGTGTGAAAAGGTGAATTTTTTTTCTCAAACATAATTGATTTTTACTACCTGCTTGACGTTGCATTTCTGGTAAACCACAGAGTAAACTCATACTGAGCAAAATTCCCGCCTTTCATAGATCAATGATAGACGATTCTGTACTGTTAGAGGGGTTGGCGATTCCTTCATGTGATTGATTAGTTGTGGCTTATTCATGAACTTTTCATTGAGGTTAATATTAATAAAATCTTTATTTTAATATTAATGTAAAATATTTATTTTTCAGAGGATAATTCTAATTCAGATTGGACTCTTCGCCACGGAAGATCGGCAGCATTGTTCTCGGCTTTGAAATCTGCACCTTCCAAGGTTCTAGAGGTGGCTACACCAGATCAGATATCTTCAACACTTCTGTCTTACCTGTCCTCTGATCGTTTGGCCTTGGTGGAGAATGCCATGTCTGGTGTTTCTTTCTTCATTAGTTATCAACTTCTCAATGGTGGTTCTGTGCCTATACCTCTTATTCAAACCTTTGCTAAGGTGAGTTGATACACTTTTTCATATAACAATTAAATATTGTTGGTAGGGATATCTTATGGTTTTCATTGGATTCATATTTCAGTGCCTGTGCAATATCTAGAAATTGCCTTTGTGTAATTGCTTGAAGTTATCGAAAATTATGTATCATTTTTAGTACAATTGAGGTTTTTGTCTGTTGGTAAAAATGTTATTAAACATGCGGTTTTGCGTGCAAACCTCATACTGTTTATTTTATATTCTTAATCATCCATCAATAAGAAACTAGGAAAGACAAAATAAAGGTAAACTATATTAAATACTATATGTATGCTCTTACTCTAGCATAAAAACATAATGCACCTTTCACTTATTTCAACAGCTTATCAACCACAGTAGTAATGAAGTGAAACAAAGCATGTGCCGAGCTTGTCAGTATGCTGCAGAGTCATTAGCAATTTCAAATGGCTCACTTTTGCCCATTGAAATAGCTCGCCCTCTTATACCGATGTTGGTGAATGGAACTAAGGAAAAGAATCAAGTGGTGCGGTCAAATGCAGAAATGGCTCTGATTGCGTTGCTTCAGCTAAAGGAAGGGGACCAAGGAATGCAGGTATAGTAATATTGTTTAGGCTACTTGATAAGTGTTTGTATAATTGATGACAAGGAAACATGAGTTCCCTATTCCAACCAATTCAAGGGCTCGGGGAGTAGAAGACCTCCCAAAACCCCCTCCAGGTATGCCTTAGGCATGAGTGGAACCTGTGCATGTAGTTGAGATGTAGAGATGCTAGGTAGTTCTTGTTCACTGCACAAGTGGTCAGCAAGTGGAATGCATTAAAGGACGAGATTGTTCAAGTCAGTTCCATCCACATGATGAAAACATTGATATTGAAAGAGACAATTAGTGTGCCATGTATAAACAGCTAGTGTGTGGGCTAAGGGCGCCTGACAGGCGAGTGGACAGTGCTTCGGATTCGTAGTCCTGAGGTTCCAGGTTCAATTCCCAGTGGAGGCGGAGACAAATCGGCAAAATGTTTGTCACCCTGATGGCCCTGTTCACCTAGCAGTAAATTGGTACCTAGGGAGTTAGACAGCTTCTATGGGGTGTGTAACAAAAAGGAGGCCTGGTCGAGGACCGGGCCGCGGGGACGCTAAGCCCCGAAATCATCTCAAGATAACCTCAAGATAATCAAGACATAAAGAGCTAGTTAGATTTCACCTCCCTTGTTCACTGATAGGTAAGCACAAGACTAATGTTTATATTAAAATTATGCAAGTCAAACACATTTCAATGGTAAAGCATACAATTAAGCAGTGGTAACAAAGGGGAGCATAATATTTGTACTTTCTCTACTTTATATGATGAATTTATATTATTTATTGCAGTTTAAATATTTTCTTCAGCTTTAGAAATTTAACAAATATTTTTAATATAAATTATCCTTTTAGATATAGTGTTGTGTAGGTTGAAATGGGGCTGGCAGTTTCGCATCTTATAAATATCATCGGTTGTGTTGAATTTAGCCTCGTATTCATACAATGAACTTGCCATCATATACAACACACGACAATGTATGGATGACTGGAATATGATATGCGAGGGTTACTAGTGTACCGTTCTCTCGTGATGTATAGTAAGATGTTGGAGCTAAATTAGCTCTACGTGCAGGTGGCCAAGTATGGGTTTAATATATTTTGCAATTTTCAGATTATGTACTTCATTATTTTTCAATTTATTGATTTGTAGGTAATGGTGGCTGCATTGGAAGGTGGTGGGAGAGATTCTCTTAATGAAGTTATCAACAAATCTCTGCGCCGCTCAACATACATACCTGTGACGCCTGCTGAAATTGACTTGACTCTTCTCACCTGATTCGTCAGTTTTGTAATAAAAGAGAAGCTTCTGCTAGTGATTATTACATGTTCATTGAAGAAAAACACTTGTAATTAGAAGAGGCATTCATGCTCGTCAACTCTGAATGCACTTATTCTTATTGGTGCTCTCAACATTGGTTTTGGATTTGTGTGTTCCACACCACACTTGTTCCCTTCGTCCATTTTCAGTGTTACTTTCTAAAAGGGTGTAACCCAGTTATATAAATAAATACATTAATTTATCACTAGGCATTTGATTATTTTATATTTGTCACAATTTTTTGTGATCATCAGTTCTGTTGTGTTTTGACCAACTTTCTAAATTAGGATTTTTTATTCTATTTACATACGTTTATTAATATTGAAAAAGAATATTTTCGTTACCTTTGAAGGACACTACCGGAAATGTGATCTGGTATAAATTTTTTGTGTGCATGCACATAAAGTATGATGACAACTGTAGTTGCAGCCATATTATGCTGTCCACTCTAGTAATATGTTCATTCTGCCCTCATTTCGGTCATTATGGTGTTGACATCCCACATGCATTGCCTTGATTTGTTACCCCTTCTTTATTTGTCTGTGTATGTGGGTATGTATTTCCCAGGAGTATTTATAAACCGGTTCTATTACTATTCAATTCATGTTTGCACACACATTACAATTTTGAGAATGCATACATCAACCATCAAATAATAATAATTAAAATATTGTTTAAAGTATTACGATATATTGCCAGAGTAATTTTTGTACTACATGATAGTCCTTATACTTGCCATTAGTGTTTATTTTGCTGTGACAACACTGAACATAATAATTAATGAAGGCATCACTCGAGATAAACACCTGTTCACTCATCTTTAGTATTGTGAGGGCTACTTAAACCAAAATAATGTTTATTGTTTGTGTGTACTTGCACACATTCTCATATGCACACACCAACACATTCTATTCTAACCTATACTTCTGTAATTAAATCTTTCACATTTATAATATCTATTACAGTACTTATGTTAGGGGGTAAAATAACTTTGCAAGAAACTGATGCAAAATCACTGCCTGTTAACCAAACTGGGCCTTGCTTACTAGCCCAAATAGTGCAGTTCTGGCTTGTATGTTATGTAACCTTGTACGCATAATGCACATAATAGCCAAACCTCCAAACTATTAGCCCCTCCAAGGGGCTAATAAGCAACGACGAGCCTAACATAAAAAATTTGCTCTACCTATTTTTAAATACTGTTAAGGTGTCTCTTATTTTATTTGCTTAGTACTGTACATTGAAAAAATTATTTATTAACTTTGCATAGCTTTGCTATGTTAGGTAGTCAAGATTGATTGGTATAGATAGGTTTGATCAAGTTAACAATTTTGTTTTACTTCTTATAGGATATTTGCATCTTTCACTAAATTGTAATATTATTTACAAAATCTTTTGATAACTTGAAAAAGTTTTGAGTTAGCCAACTGGCATTGAGATGTGTGTGTAAAGTGCATGCATGCCTGCTCACTTCTTCATTTGTTCACACAGTTTTTATTCGACATACATATTTATTCACATTGATAAATAGTTTTTTTTCCACAGCAAATGACATGTTCAAGGGAAAACAATTATCACGATGGCAGTATTGAAAGTAATTTTTTTCTCTGGGAAACACTTTTGTTTCTTTTTGTTTTCCTAAATATATGTAAGGGCTTTTATTTAAACTGCCAAATTTCAACATATTTTTGCTTATACCACATTGTAATATTTTAGGTATAATACAATCAAATAGCAAGGATCTCTTACTAGCAAGGTGAAGATAAAAAAAACATTTCCTTTTTTTATAACAAGACAAAAGAGGTTTCTTAGATAAATAAAATTATCTATTTACACTTTTTTTTACTGTCCTACATAATGCAATATGTGTTTAAACCATTAACTACAGCATTTGCTAATTACTAAGGGGGAGGATCAGAAGCTTTGAGAGGTACCAGCTAGATCTTGAGATGCAACGGAATGAAAGACAACAAACTGGAGAAGTTGAAGCTGGTAAATAATGATGAATAAACGAGACTATGGTCTTGCCGGGGGCCGAGCGGACAGCACGCTGGACTTGTGATCCTGTGGTCCTGGGTTCGATCCCAGGCACCGGCGAGAAACAATGGGCAGAGTTTTTCACCCTATGCCCATGTTACCTAGGAGTAAAATAGGTACCTGGGTTTAGTCAGCTGTCACGGGCTGCTTCCTGGGTGTGAAGGCCTGGTCGAGGACCGGGCCGCGGGGACACTAAAGCCCCGAAATCATCTCAAGATTGCCCGCCCACCCAGGGACTGGGGATGTGGCACCAAGATCTTGCCCACCTTACCCGGCAGACAACAGGCTTACACACATAATGACAAGATGGCCACACAGCAGAGGGTAGATCGGCACTCATTATACAATGGGTGACGGGACAATACAGAGCTGTACAGTATTGTTCAGTACAATGTACAGAACTACAAAACAGCACTACAGTATAGTACTGTGCAGTATAGCACTTCAGTACAGAACTGTACAATACAGTACTGTAAATCACTGTACAGTATGTAACAAGAGAGTAGTACAACATGAACAACCCACAGGCGCGGCGGCAGACTGGAAAAGTTACACCTCTGTACAAGTTAACCATGGGGGGGGGGGGCAGGTCAACGGTCACAGTCACGAGGTCAGAGTTGATGCCGTCATGATATTCTACAGGGATTAACTACTCCACATCAAGTGCAAACCCTCATGTTCAGCTGGGGAGCAGGAGATCATGGAAGAGGAACAGTATAGTGGGTGAAGCCCAGTCGGATGGTGTGAGTGGACTCTAGGAGGGACCATCATCTCTAAGAGAACTTTGGAACACCATACGAGTAAGTACGGCTCTCTTGAACTAAAGCGCCTCATTCAGTGCTCTTTGCCTCTGGTAGGGAAAATAGGGAAGTGTCTAATTATTTCAAATAGTCATATATTGTCAAGTGTTATTAAATGTGTATTAATGGTTCCTTGTCTTGGTGATATTGGGCCTACCGTTCCCTTTGCCCTAGTGTCCGTAATTATCCAGTACTCCTCTCCCGTCCGTCCCTTGTTGAGGTGTTATAGTATTGGGTGTCCTGCCTTATTCTTGTGTACTTTATAGTTCCCAAGTGGTCAGGATCCTGTACCATTCAATTGTACCCTACACCTGTCCTGGTAGGTTTATATCATCTGCAAGGCCTACGAATCTCACTCCGGTCCCCTGTCTGGTAACTCACGGTGGTGGCAGCGTTACTTGGTAACTCATACGAAGGCTGTGACTACGAATATTTCTATCTTTCTATCTCACTCCCTCGTTCTCACACACTCACACTCTCTCCCACACAAAGAGCCAGAGCTCAACCCCCGCAAACACAACTAGGTGAGTACACACTCTCACTCTCTCCCTCCCTACCTCCCTCCCCCTCCCCCCCCCCTCCCCCCCCCCCCCCCCTCCCCCCTCCCCCTCTCCCCCTCCTTTCCTTTGTTTACTGGTTTACGTCCTCGTATGACGGCCCGAGTGTTAACATCTTACATGATCGGTAGAGCATCCGTTATTACCATAGAAGGAGCAGAGATTGCACGGTTATTTCAGTGGTAGTAGCGGGGTGCGCGGTCGAGATATTACAAGTATTGTTCAGTACATCACTGTACAGTACAGCACTGTAGAGAAATGTACAATACAGCACTACAGGACAGAACTGTACAATACAGCACTGTACAGTACAGCACAGCACTATACAACACTACAGCATTGTACAGTCCTGTTCAGCACTGTACAGTACAGTTCGGCATTGTACAGTACAACACTACAATACAGCACTGACCAGTACAGTACAACACTACAATACAGCACTGATCAGTACAGTACAACACTACAATACAGCACTGACCAGTACAGTACAACACTACAGTACTGTACAGCACAATACAGAACAGCAGGGGGTCGGTAGACAGGTGGCACGGAGAGAGAAGGCGCCGTGAAGGTTTACGAGAGGTCGTCCTCCAGCCCCCGGTCTCGTATATACCACTTGACCGCCAAGTTATTCGACTGAGCTTGAGGAAGAGGTAAGAAATGGCGGACTTATCGAGGGAAATTCGTGGCGTCTCTTACTGCGAGTGGAAATGGATTGTTCAATTGAAAAGACGATATCGATAATCTCTCATAAATTCATAGCGTCCAAGGATAAATGTTGGAGACAGGAGAAGCGACGGGACAGATGGACGGTCATGGGAATAACTGATATAGAAGACAGGAAGTTCATATCGAATGAAGAAAATGAAATTTTGAAATGGAAAACGTTAGCTGGGATGGAGGAAAAGGTGTGGGAGAAGGGACTTATGTGATGTAGGTGAGGAAAGGTATATCTTGAGGTTATCTTGAGATGATTTCGGGACTTTTTTTTTAGTGTCCCCGCGGCCCGGTCCTCGACCAGGCCTCCACCCCAAGGAAGCAGTCCGTGACAGCTGACTAACACCCAGATACCTATTTTACTGCTAGGTAACAGGGGCATAGGGGAAAGAAACTCTGCCCATTGTTTCTCGCCGGCGCCTTGGATCGAACCCGGGGCCACAGGATCATAAGTCCAGTGTGCTGTCCGCTCGGCCGACCGGCTCCCTTTATGCTGAGGGAAGAGTTAGTGTGGGTTAGGGAAAGATGCAGTGTGATAGAAATAAAAAATTGCATTTCTGAGGAAAGGTTAATGCTGTGACAGAGGTGATAACTGAGTATTTAAACAGGAGGATGAGTTGATGTAGACCGCCTGAACTGTATAACTTGTACCACTATGTGAGTAGAGTTTGTAAACAATACCTTGTGGGGACTGTGAAATGATTCACTAATATTACGGCTTCTGTCTGTTTTGTTGCTCCACCGTCATTATCACTGTACCAGACGGGGGTTGGATTGCCTGTCAAATGACTCGTCAGTAGTACTGTTCACCCGTATATCTGTCAGTACCAGTCGTGTGCAAACTGACGAACAGTTCGCTTATAAATAAATGACGAATAAAGACAGTAAGTGGTCCTCGCTGTCTATGGGGCCAAGTCAGGCGTAAGACCATGCCAACTTGCCCTGACTGGTTCAACAAGTGACATTACCCCTGCGCCACCAGGCACTGAACACTCACCAGCAGTAAGGATACTCGTTCCTTAAGTCCCTTTCTCCAAAGTTTCGAGTTCCAAGCGTAAGAGTTGATGCTAAAGTTCGCCGATTTCAGAGTTTTTGTGTAAAGTCAATATGGAAGCGAGGACCCTTGAGCAAACTCTCTCAGCTGAAATTGTCTGTAGATTCGAGTTAGTCTTCTTCATTTAACAGGAAAAACTGCTAAATTTTAAATTCCTTTTTAATCAAGCGAGAAATTTACAAGACGAAACTGCTCTCATGAAAAGTTATAACGCCTTTGTTATTATCAGCTAGTAGGGAACCCCCCACCCTGGGGGTGTGCTCGTCACTCTTACACACCCTGGGAGTGTGCTCGTCCCTCTCCCACACCCTGGGAGTGTGCTCGTTACTCTTACACACCCTGGGAGTGTGCTCGTTACTCTTACACACCCTGGGAGTGTGCTCGTTACTCTTACACACCCTGGGAGTGTGCTCGATACTCTTACACACCCTGGGAGTGTGCTCGTTACTCTTACACACCCTGGGAGTGTGCTCGATACTCTTACACACCCTGGGAGTGTGCTCGTTACTCTTACACACCCTGGGAGTGTGCTCGTTACTCTTACACACCCTGGGAGTGTGCTCGATACTCTTACACACCCTGGGAGTGTGCTCGTTACTCTCCCACACCCTGGGAGTGTGCTCGTTACTCTTACACACCCTGGGAGTGTGCTCGTTACTCTTACACACCCTGGGAGTGTGCTCGTCCCCCTCCCACAGCCTGGGAGTGTGCTCGTTACTCTTACACACCCTGGGAGTGTGCTCGTTACTCTCTCACACCCTGGGAGAGTCCTTGTCACTTAACAGACGTACCTTCTCTCTCTCTCTCTCACACACATACACAATCAGTTGATTGATAGTTGAGAGGCGGGACCAATGAGCCAGAGCTCAACCCCCCCCCCGCAATCACAACTAGGCGACTACACACACGAACACAAATAGTAAATACACACCCAGAACCGCCGGTGCTCGGTTTAGAGAAATATAACTTTCCGGTGAGTGACAGTTGGAGTAGGGACAAGAACCAGGCTTACGAGACTGAGAGGATTGTGCTCGACAAGTACAAATTTGAAGGAAATTCAAATTTAACACTGAGCGGTCGGCTCTATTCACAGCTGTTGAATACTAAGTTGCATTTGCAAGTGGCAATTCTCTGGCGACTATTCCCCGTTTCAGGAATCACATCAAATAAATACAAGAGCAGAGAAATTGTGTCAATTTTTGTGAATATTATTCAGTCTCTGACGACGCTGTTTTTGACTAAAAAACTGCATTTTCATTTTAATATACCCATGTTGAAAACTTTACCAGGCAGAGAAAAGTCACTCGAGTAGCTTTCATTTACTTGCACTTTTACAAAGCTAATAGGGAACCTGTCTTATAAAAAACTAATATATTTTGGAATCAAGAGGAGACTGATAACATGGAAAAGAGAATACACGAGAAATAGATCTGCTTTGGTCCTCTTCAAAGAAGTGAATGGTACAGTGTTTAGCCCCACACTTTTCCTCGTTCTGTTGCGTAAATTACTAATCAATACCTACTCAAGAACGAGCCGTTCCTTTGATCTACCTCAATGGCGGCCATTGGGTCGCGATAATGCCGTCAAACATACCTCTTCAACGACTCTCATTCATACGACGACTTTCAAACCTATCGCCATAGATCACAGGGAAATATATAGTTTTTC